AATATTACTTGAGCTGAATGCCTCAGTTGTTTTGTGTGTTGCTATAAAGTTATGCAGTACAGTCATTCTCATGAATGTTGATTAACATTTGTTCAAGTCATACTAAACCCAATTTGATTTATTGGACCATCACCAGAACTCTAAATCAGAGAACTTATGTAAAATAGTGAGAAGTGTTTGATTTCATCCAGAGGGTTTCTCAATTAAACTTAAATTGCTTATATAAGATGGGATAATGGTCTCTCAGTTACTTAATCGCATAACTAGTGCAGAGCAGTTGTTCCTTCCTACTAATGGGATATGGAGGCCGTTAATACCCTGGCATATTAATATAAGAGTAATTGTTTACATGTCATAAATACTTCAATAGAGTATCAAACAGTTTAACTGACTGATGAGGGAGCATTGCAGCTGTTCTGGTGATGATTCAATAAATCAAATCAGATTTAGTGTGACTTGAGCAAATGTCAACCAACACCTGCAAGAACAGCTGTACAGCATAGTTTTGTAGCAACACACAGAACAATTGAGACATTCAACTCAAGTGATATTAATAGAAGAAATTATTTACATGTTGTAGACCACTCCAATAAAATATGGAAGATTTTGAAAAGATTGGTGAGGGAGCATTGCAGCTGTTCTGATGATGATTTAATAAATCAAATCAGATTTAGTGTGACTTGAGCAAATGTCAACCAACACCTGTAAGGACAGCTGTACTGCATAACTTTATAGCAACACACAGAACAACTGAGGCATCCAACTCAAGCAATATTAATAGAAGAAATTATTTACATGTTGTAGATCACTTCAATAGAATATGGAAGACTTTAAAGAGATTGATGAGAAAGCATTGCAGCTGTTCTGATGATAATTCAATAAATCAAATCAGATTTAGCATGACTTGAGCAAATGTCAATCAACACCTGCAAGAACAGCTGTACAGCATAATTTTATAGTAACACACAGAACAACTGAGACATCCAGCTCAAGTGATATTAATATAATAGTAATTATTTACATGTCATAAATACTCTGATAGAGTATTAAACAGTTTAACTGACTGATGAGAGAGCATTGCAGCTGTTCTGATAATGATCTGATAAATTGAATTGGATTTAGTGTGACTTGGGCAAATGTCAATCAACATTCATGAGAATGACTGTACTGTATAACTTTATAGCAACACACAGAACAACTGAGGCATCCAACTCAAGCAATATTAATAGAAGAAATTATTTACATGTTGTAGACCACTTCAATAAAATATGAAAGATTTTGAAGAGATTGATGAGGGAGCATTGCAGCTGTTCTGGTGATGATTCAATAAATCAAATCAGATTTAGCATGACTTAAGCAAATATCAATCAACACCTGCAAGAACAGCTATACAGCATAGCTTTGTAGCAACACACAGAACAACTGAGACATTCAGCTCAAGTGATATTAATATAATAGTAATTATTTACATGTCATAAATACTCTGATAGAGTATTGAACAGTTTAACTGACTGGTGAGGGAGCATTGCAGCTGTTCTGGTGATGATTCAATAAATTGAATTGAGTTTAATGTGACTTGAGCAAATGTCAACCAACATCTGCAAGAATGACTGTACCACATAACTTTGTAGCAACACATAGAACAACTGAGACATTCAACTCAAGTGATATTAATAGAAGAAATTATTTACATGTTGTAAACCACTCTGATAGAATATGAAAGACTTTGAAGAGATGATGAGAAAGCATTTAGAATTTTTTGATGATGATTCAATAAATCAAATTGAGATTAGTGCCATCTTGTGCTAATTCTGATTTGATTTATCAGACCATCCAGTCAATGGACACCATGACACTTCAAAATTCAATATCAATTCAACAAAAATAGATAGAAATAATTGGAAAGATGTTTTGGAATCCTTAGAATTAGCTCTATCCACTGTTAAAAAGAACTATGTAAATATCTCAATTTTTGAGTGGGTTCAACACCATGTTTTTACTATATAGATACAGATCAATTCATTATTTAATTTATTAGAAGTTATTAAAGAAATTAAGCAAATTCAACAAATCTGCAAATAAGTCATTCAGTTACTGCAAACTGCTGTTAACACACAGGTCAAATACTATAATCAACATTATAAATCAATGCAATATCAAGTAGAGAATTGTGTTCTACTTAATTAAAAAAATATAACAATCTTGAGACTTTCTATCAAGCTGAATAATTAATTTTTAGAACTGTTTGAGATTATAGTTATATAAGAAAAGCAAGCTTACACATTAAGACTTCTGAAGTCATATGAATAAATCAATTCAACTTTTCATATTTCACTGCTAGAGCTCTATTGAGAACATATTAATAATCAACTGGTAATCCCACAGCCAGTACTAATTGATGATAAAGAAGAATGAAAAGTAGAGATCATTCTCAATAAATACATTTACTGTTCAAAAACTGAATATCTAGTCAAATAGAAAGACTTTTCTTTCTACAAAAATTAATAAATAAAAGCAGAAGATCTTCCAAACTGCAATAAACTTATTATAGAATTCAAGTAACTATTTAAAGTTTCAATTAAGAGACATTGCTGCAAGTTTGCTACACAATAATTACTCTATAGCTGCTAGCAGCTAATAAAAAGAGAGAAGAAATATAATCTATAAGAAATTTACTAAGAGAAAGACAGAAGAAAATATTTTCATTCAAAATCTGAAGACTGACAAAAAAGATAAAAAGATTTAAAATCTGAAGACTGAATAAATTGAAAATGTGACAAACTGATGAGAAATCAGCAATCTATTAATAACTAGTTATTATTTTTAATGAATCTTGCTGACTTTCTTTCTTTGTCAAGAAATTCAGTCTTGATTTTGAATGATTTGAGAAACTGAATGATGTTGTTAGACATCACTTATAGTGTTCTCTTCAATTGTGAGAGGAAGATGAGAATGATGTGGAATTCTGACTTGAGAATGATGATAGTAGTGAAGACAGAAGCAATAAAAGCAGTAATAGAAGTGTGATATAAAATAGTTTGAGAGACTTCTATCTTACAGAAAAGGATATTAATTGCTGAGACTTCTCTCTGTAAGCAAGAAAGAATTTTCAAAGTTGAATAATTGTCAGTAGCAAGCTGATGCAGCATCACAATCTTGTTATGAAGAGTGAGAAAGACTGCCATACATATCTTACTATGCATGCAATAACAAAAACACTTGCTGAATATGACAGAAAATAAACAAACTGTAGTGTGATTCTGTATTAGATACTTGATGCATCATACACAAGCAGCAGTTTGAGTGCTGATCTGCTATAAGATATCAGCAAGATCTAGAAAGTAAAAACTTGATATATTTCTCTGAAATCTCTAAGAAAAACTTACAGAAGCAGCAGAGATAATTAAATTAACTGTATCTGTAGCTATTTCATCTCTCAACTTCTATCTTCTGATTAATCACTGCTAGCTGTCAGCTAAATCTTCTAGACTTATAAGAGATGCATCACAATCAAACTCTTCAGAACTGATAGCTGCAATAAAAGAAATCTGTTAATGAAAATCAGAAAATGAAATAAAAGACTAGTTAAAGAATCTGTTAGCTTGCTGCTAACTAGCTTTCTCTACATGTATAAGAGCTTATAAAGAACAGAGAATAAGCAGAAGTGATCAGATGCTCTGAAGTAGTCAAAATAATAATTGCAGCTGCAGCTGCAACACAAGTATACTTCTTTGCTGCTGAAGCAGCTGCAGCATCACTCAGCTGTTTAGAAGTTATCTAGCAGTGAAATTGATATATTAGCTTGACAGAAATTAATAAAAATACTTTAAATTTGAAAATATCTACAGCAGAAGTATGAAAAAATCTGATTTAAATTGAAAGAAGATCTGAATCATCTTCATTAATAAAATTATCTTATTTAAGTCTCATTCCACTTACAAACAGAAGAGAAGCTGGTGATTTGCAGAGATTCTATCACTATTTATTAGCAATTCATCTAATAATCAACAGAAATTTTCAGCATCTATCACTTTTAAGATTTAAATGCTCTAAAAAAAAAAAAAAAAAAAAAGAGAATAAACTTATCTTTATTAATTTCTATAATTTCTATACAACACAACTCTGAAAGCTTCTGATTGATTAATGACTCAGCTTATAAAATAAAATATTTCTGACTCATATAATCTGATATGAAACAATCATTGAAATGAGAACTTTTGAAGCTTATATGAGTTCTTCAGAAATCTGAGAATGTGTTCTCTTAGAAGAAGAATAACTGTAAGAACATCTCTGATGAGAAGCAGCTATCTAGTCTTCACTCAGCAGATAGTATCTATAACAGCATTGTGACAAGATGTTGTCATCTTAAAGATATAAGCAGAAGACTGCCTTGCTCATTTATAAGAGAGCAAGCAATTCATTTACTATCTATCTACTGTTTATCATTAAAAATCTATTCTACAATCTATACATTATTATATATGCTTTGAATGTATATTGTTATTACTTAAATTAATGATAATAATTAGAGTGGTGCTCAGGACTGGGACAGGATCCCAAATTTTATGAGCATTGATTCTGATTTCAAAATCTGTAGAAGAATTTGTCTCAGAATCAGACATATAGTTCTCATATTTCATCTCAGTGAGAAATGGAACATGAGATCTCATTGTGTAGTCAAATAAATTCCAGCAGCACCATTTCATTATAAGATTCACATTTCAAAAACCTTCTCATTCCATGATAGCTGGCATCAGTCCCAGTACTGGGCAATCTCAAAATGAGACTGAAATGGGACATGGGTTCCCAGTCTCATGTTTCATTATGTAGAGCAAGAAGCTCAAATTGCTTCTAAGATGCTAGAACTGTTATCAAAATTTATTACTTTTTCTACAGTGTGTATCATGATCAATGAAAAACTCAATATCCTCAGAAATAATTCATATTAATGAATAACATCAAGACTAGTAGCTGACTTATGCCAGCTCAACAATATTCACCTAATTAGACAGATTAATATTCTTCATCTTCATCACATCTTCTTTCTTCTCTTCTTCTTCTTCTTCTTCATCTTCATCATCTTCATTATTCTCTTTCTTCTCCTCCTCTTCAGCAGGTCTTCTTGCCATCTTTGACAGTATCTTAATATTGAACTTCCACTGCCTCACAACAGAGTCAGAGGCCCCAGAGGCAACAGAAGCAGCAGTGTGAATGACAGGAGCAGAGACAGCAGATGTGATAGAGTGGGTGATGGAGCAGATGATATGGCAGGCAGGAGTGGCAGCAGAAGTGATAGAGTGAAAGTAATTGACTGTTTTAATTAATCTGAAGAACTGCAATCTGATTATGAAGCTAATCTTCATGATCAGATGCATATTTTCAGTATTGACAGTCACACACTTCTGATGTGTCATTGCCATAATCAAGCATTTCCAATTTGCATTAATTATATGAATATCAACTTATACAATTGTTAATACTCACACTCAAACAAGATAACAATGGTCACCTCCACAGTCTCTTGAAGATTTTCAATGGCAGTATGTTGCCAGCAGATATTGTGATCTCAGCCACAGTTAATAATGATTTTGTGAATCAATTGCTGGAACACAGCCACAGAAATAATCAGATTCATGAATCTTTGGAGATGTTTAATCTTCTGGATCACATCTAAATGATTCAATTAGCATCAGAACTGTTATTAAAATTCATTACTTTTTCACATACAGATATCAGCTTTTAACTGACATCAGAAGAGTTGTGAGCAGAAGGTTTCTTTTTCAAAGATTATCAGATCAGTTTTCAGATTCATCTTATATCAAGTTGTCTTGACAGCTTTTCAGTCTTTTAATGCAGTCTTGTGCTGCAGTTCACCACCAGTCTTATACTGACCAGCATGGGGAAACTCAACACAACTCATTGTTGCAGGACAATAGATGAGACAGAGCAGATGAGAGAGTTGAGATGATTTATAAAAGAGATCAACAAATGATGACAATTTTAATAATGATTAGTCTACAGAAAAGAAAGAAGAAGAAGAGAGAAGATGAAAATAACTGATTTTATGTCTTCTGTCTGATATCACAATACTGTGACAACTGATTACAGATTTATAGTAAACAATATACTGGCTTGATATCACATCAAAACAAACATATCACATTGAAATAAACATACTCTAATATTGTATGGCAACAGTTTCTTGTATCATGGCTTTAGCAGCTTGATATCACATCAAAACAAACACACTCTGATATTGCATGGCAACAGTTTCTAGTATTGTAGCTTTGACAGCTTGATATCCCATCAAAACAAATATATCACATCAAAATAAACATATTCTGATATTGCACAGTAATATAGTAAGCTGCATAGCAACAGTAGTCAGTATAGAAGCCTGATATTGCATTCAAACATTCTCATATTATTTCATAGTCAAACACATTCCAAGCCATCCATTCAAATCACTACTTACCTCACAAACAGACAAAAATGACTTCACAAAAAAAATATTCAATGCATAAGAAGACCTGTGCTGCACAAGAGAGCAGGCTGGTCCTTTTCAGGCAGAATTGTAACATGTTTAAAGCTGAAGAGGTCAACTGCAAGATGTATTATGATACTCTTCAAAAGCTTCAAGTCAAGAAGTCATGGTGTGTATCAGACTATCAGCAGCAAACTGACTTATATCATACTGACACAGATTACAGAAAGAATGCTAATAAGTAAGAGCATCAGACAATGAAGAATCAGATTATTGAAGAACTTATAATCAAGTGATTTATCAAGAGCAAGTTCAAGAAATACCACAAGCATCAGATGCTAGTGGCCTGCAAGAAGCAGAAGGTCAAAGAGAAGAAGAAGCATAATGAAAAAGTCATGCAGATGTAAGAAGAAATTAAGAATAAGATATATTAAAAAGTAATGAAATTTGATAACAGTTCTAACACATTTAAATCAAAATTGAACTTGCAGTGCATTTAATTGCTGCATACATTCAGACCCATGCTCATGCAATGATGACTGTGCTCAAAGTCAAAGTTATGACTTATGAGCATGATTGTCTTGCTGCTGCTGATTTGTTGAAGAATGAGATGAAGAAGAAGATGAAAACATTTCAGAATTATTTGCAGACTTTATTGAATGAGGAGATGCTATCATCATCAGAGAAGATGAATGAGAAGAAGTTTGAGATTGTTGTCTCTTCTGATGAAGAGAAGAAGAATGAGGAGGAGAATGATGATTAGATTGTTAATGTCTAAAAGCATTTTATTTTAATTAGTAATCAATTGAAAAATCTTTGATGAATAATTTCTTCATAAAGAAGTCATTTGACAGATACTTTCTCTATAAATAAAGTTATCATCAGAACATTCTCTTCATAATATAGATCAATAAAGCATGAAAAACTTTTCAATCTCATTCTCTTGAATTTCTCAAATTTCTCAAATCTCTTGTAACTCTTCATCCTGCTCTTCCACAATTCAATTCTTCAACTTCAAATTCATTGCCAAGTTGTCAAAATGGAAGCCTTTCAGAAGTCTGTTGTTATTGATAATAATATCTCATTCTTTATTAATGTCTCATCTGAGTTGATTCAAATGCAAATTGAAAAAGTTGTGTATGTCAAATGAGAGCAAGAGAACTCAAAGTTCTTTACTATCTGATAGTCAGTAACAGATGCTGCTCAGTTGATTGAAGAGAAGAAAAATCACAGCTTAAATTAAGCTGTCAAGAATTACCACTCAGACTTCTGAGTCCAATATAATCAAGCAGCTGAGATTTCAAGCAGTAATTCAGTAGTGATTTACAAAAATTGTCAGATGATTCTCAAGCATTCAGACTTTACTGAAAATGGCACAAGTGGGTTGAAGAAACACCTAAAGAGTGCAGAGTGTGACAAGAAAGATAGTGGATCTCAGAATCTACAGCAGATGATGATTAGTGATTATTTTATATCTTTATATAAAAAATAATAAAATTTGATAACAGTTCTGATGTTTTAGAAGTTCAATTGAAAACATTCTCAAAATGTATCATCTATTTCTGAATGCAACTCACAAAACTTTCAGCAGTAACTTATTCAAATTATAATATCTCTAAACATGTTCTTCTGCATGATTGAAAACCCAGTCTTTAAGACCATGATGTCAATGCTTAATTCTTTGATGGTGAACAATATTCCAACTCACAAGACACTGTATCAGATTATGAACATCATGTACAATAATCTGTTCAAGATACTGCTGGCTGATCTCAACACAACAATAAAGATGTCTTTAACAGTGGATAATTGAACAAGTCTCAACAATCTTGCTTTTATGATGATTAATGAATATTATATTACAAAGAACTGGAAGTACTGGGAACATTTGCTAGAATTTGAGAGCTTACATGAAGCTCATACTGGAAAAAACATGACAGAAGTTCTTACAGAATGTCTGAATGTATGAAAGCTAGAGCATCAGCTTCTAGCAATTACAAGTGATAATGCATTCAATAACAATACAATGCAATCAGAGCTTAAGAAACAACTGCAGTCAATATTGACAAGATTGAATAAATCTGCTGAATGAGATTCAGAAGCTGGAATGATATTCTGTCTGACTTATGTGATACAACTTATGATTCAAGAGCTTGTCTGCAAGCTCAAGATTCAGTCAGAGAATAATATGTTGTCAACAACATTTGATAAAGATGATCTTCAGAATGATTTCTTATCAAATAATATCTTTGCAAACACACTTAAAAAAATAACAAATTTTGATAACAGTTCTGACACATTTGAAGCAATTTACTAATCATGTGACTGACTTCAGATTCAACTCATGATTAATATCATTAATACATCATCTCAACTTGTGGCTCAATTTCAAGACTATCAACAAATCAACAAGTGAAAGATGATTCAGAATGTCCAAATCTGATGAAATTCAACATATGAGATGTGTGTACAAGTATTAGCTCTTCATGAAGTCATCAATGCATGGAATCAAGATTCAGCAGTCAAGTATCAGGCTCTACAGCTACCTGATAATGAATGAAGTCAGATGCAGTACATGATCAAGCTTCTACTGTCATTCAACAACTATACAAAGATAATATCAAAAACAAAAAAGTCAACAATTCATATGATGTGGGTGACTTACAATCATCTATTTGCTCATTTGAAAGAGAAGAAGAGTAGATTCACAACAAGACACTGGAATAATGTTAAGAAGATTATAGCTGCTGCCAAACTGAAGTTTCAAAAATATTATGAAGATACAGAGCATTTTAAAGATGAGCTTCTGACAGTAGCTGCTGTTCTCCACCCAACTCACCATATGAGAGCATATAATCTCAAGAACTGAGAAAAGAAGAAACATGAAAGATATTAACAGCACATTCTCATATATTATGAGAAGCATTATCAGCAATATGAGAAGCTCAGAGAGGTGATTGCAGATGATAATAAGATGTGTTATTATTTAAATAATAATTTACTCCATACTGATGTTATTATTAGAATATTGAAAATATTCTTTTCAAAAGATCATTCAGAGGCCAAGGAAATACTCTCACTGAGATGAAATAATATCTCAATAATGAGAATTTGACCACAGAGTCAATGCCACTGTTGAAGCAGTGGCAAAATCTGAAATCAGTCTTCCCAACAGTTGCTTGCATGGTTAAAGACATTCTGGCCATATCATTAATAGAAGTAGATGTTGAATGTGTGTTCAACACTGTGAGAGACATCTGTCACTATTAATAGTTATGGCTTCACATATCCATCATCAAGAAGATCATTTTACTGAAACATGATGATAAAAAGCACTTGCTTGATGAAGCACTAGTATCAGATGCAGAGTTAGCCAAGAAGATTGAAGAGATAGATGTAGAAGACATTATGAAGAATGAAGATGTATTGACAAGAGAAGAGAAGAAGCAATTGTCAAGCTTGTTGAAATAGTGAACATTGTACAGAGTACTTGAATTAGAATGAATTACTTGAATTACTTTGCTCAAATGCTTAAATTGCTCCAAATGTGTCAGAACTGTTATCAAAATTTGTTATTTTTTCATGTGACATCATGTGATCTATAGAACTGGAATTCCAGTCTCATCTCTCTCATAACTGTTCCCATCTCACCTGCAATATCATGTCTCATGACCCATTTCATTACTTATGTTTGAATCCAGTCTCAAGTTATTAGATGGGGCTGGGATTCTGGGATCATTGGATTTTAGAAAGCAGGTTTCAAGTTTCATCTCTCTCACATATTATTGAATCATGTTCTGTTCCAGATTCAAGATTTTGACCCAGTCCTGTCTCAGAAGAGGAACATGAGATGGAAAATGAGAGACCAGTTCTGAGATTCCAGTCTCATTAATTCAGTCTAATAATAATCTCTATCTAGCCTCTAGCTAGCTGCTAGTTACCAGCACTCTCATAATTTCACTTCAATATTGAGGAGACATCTAGTTTCTGACCATAGTCAAGCTAGTTGTTACATTGATTGTCACATTAACATTCTCTTGAAGAACTGAATTGTTGATGAATGACATGACAAGAATATTATAAAAGATTTTGAAGATCTTCTCAGGCATTTCTTCAGTCTTGCAAATAAGAGAGTTCTTTGATTCAGTCATGATTGTGATGTGTAAGAAAGTAGATAGTTTGATTGTGAAGAGATCTTGAGCTTGATGAATTTTGATCTTTTTATATAAAATTTGACAGTGTATAACACAATACTGAATGAATATTTCTGTGACAATTTCCATATTGACTATATAATATGAATGGAAAGTTCCATTGTCCTGAAGATGTATGCTGGTATTTGTGCTGGAGTGTAGAATGAAGTGTAAAATAAAATGTGAAATGAGATTTGTAGTTGGAATTGGCATTCAGTCATGTGACTTATAATTTGTGCCAGAGCATAGAATGGAATGTGAAATGAAGTGTGAAATGAGCTTTTGTGTGAATCATCAAGATTGTACTAAATCTGATGATGTAAGAATTTCAATTAATAGAAAATCACATAGCTGCAACCTGATTCCCATTCAGCTGCTCATTCCAGTGGAATAATGACAGAATATGAGAAGTTAGAATTATTAATTATTAATAAAGAAAATGAATGAAAAGTGAAGTAAATTCTGACAAACTGAATTCACTGAAGAAAGCTGCAGTATTAAGTTAAATGATTGAGATATGATTATAACTCACAGTGATATCTGATGTGAAATTTTAAGAACTCATTATATTAATTAAGAGATTATCATAAAAGCAACTCACAGAAATCAGAACTCTCAAAATAACTGACAAAATAATTAAAGATATGAAAGAGTGAGAAAAATTTATCAGAATGCACAGATGATAACTTGTCAAGAGTATAAAACAAGAAAATCTATAATCAGAGTGTTTAATATGAGAACATATTTAAGTTTTTCAGAAGAGTAATGTTAGAGTCTGATGCAGAGTGATAAAGAAGCATCAGACTTGAAGTCACATAATTAAATTCTTCAGATAATTATTATTAGTAGAGCTCAGAATAAGAGCTCAGAATAAGAGAATATATATTGCACAATTATTTCAAACTCCTCTTTTCTTCATCATGTTTAATATTTTCATTTAAATCTATCTAGTATAATAGTTTATTAAATTCTTCTTCTTCTATTCTTGCATTTAGCCTGAGGTTGTATTAAAAACAACAACAATGCAGAAGAGATAATGAATGATGCAGAATAAATAAGAGAATAAACAATTACAATAAAAGAAGAAAGAAAAAGAAAGAGAAAAACAAGAAAAATTTGTTAATATCAGACATATATTGCTAGATTGAAAACAGCTAGTATTAGTAATCTATTAATTGTGTAAAAAAATGACAGAAATGTTAGTGTTATCAATAGTATCTTACTGATAATAAATTTATAAAATATTATATATAATATGTGATTCTGATAACTCTCTTAAGTCTTTCTTCTTCTATTAAAGACAAGTTTATTTAATCTATTCAACAGACTTCTGATCTGAGATCTTTAAAGATAAAGTCTGATCTAGTAGAAGACAATGTGATTTCAGCACTGTCTATTGTATAGTATTATATATTTCTTTTCTAATCTAGTTTCTATCAGACATAAATTCTTGTCTATAAAGCTTAATAATCTTCAATGCCTACTGACATCAGGCCCACTGTTGTACATATATATAAATAGTCTAGTTCTCTTCAGTATAGAGAAACTAACCCATCTTTCATTCTCATATCACAGATTGAATCAAATATTAAACTCTACTGTAATGATGATTATATTATTATATAAATCAGAATTTAATAAATAAAGAAACACTTCAGTAAAAATGCTCAAGCAGAACAAGAACAATCTTTATTTTTCTATTATAATTAAACATTTGACTCTCAGTCAACTGTCAGTATATTTATTAAGCAAATTCAATCTGAATGAAAATCTTCTCATCAAAAAACTCAGTCTTTTTGCTATCATTCTGATCAAGTTGAACTGAATGATCAGATGCATCACTAATAAATGAGTTTGATAGAGTTTCATTTGTATTAAATTCATCATCTGATCACTTTACAAATTCATCAGTAAAATCTGTCAGCAAGTTAATATCATCTGAGTACAACTCATTCAATATACTGCTTGCTATTGCATCAATCACAGCAGAGTCAGCTTTTTCTGAATTTTCATATTTATTATTATTCTGTTCATTCAATTCTATCATTTATCTGATATTATTCACAGAGCTGGGTGTCACTGAATGATTAAAAGATCAGAAAGTATTCATAACAGTTTCAGTCTGATTCAGAGATTAACTTAGTGATTAAGTAAATTGTCTAGAGAGTGAACAACACACATTGTGAGATGTGTTGATAGAATGACTTGATTGATTCAAAGTTCTGATTGAGTGAAAAAACTGACTGGTAGATGTTCTATTCTGCACACAACATTTTTTTTTACTCATAATTAAGATAATATGATTTCTTAGGCTGAGATCTATATCTGTACAAATTCTAGAGATATTTGAATGACTGGTGGTGGCTTGTGGGAACAGAAAGAATAAAATCTGATTAAATTTGTGAAAAATGACTAAGTCTCTTGAGCTTGAGGGTGACACCAAAATGCTACACAATTTGCTCAGACTCTTCATGAATAAAGAATGAAGTTTCCTAATTGAGCATAGAGTTTACAGCTATATTATGTCTGATTAGGCTGGACTGGGCAGAATGCATCCCTTTAATGAGCCTGAATCCAGTGGAGAGTCTGAGTTACTGAGGCAAGGGTGGGGGTGGATTCCAAATTCACCATTGTTGAACGTTGAGTGGTAGATTACATTACGCATATAGTCGCCCCTCTAATGGAGGTCTGGCATATGCATTAGTCTCGCCAGTTGGTGAAAAAAATCTATCTGGAATGATGGAGCAATGGCCCACGCCGACATTCCAGCCCGGACCGACATCAGCCCACCGCAACTTTTCGTAGCCTGCCTTTTCATCAAGTACAGTGCCGGGGTGACAAGCTGCACTAATAGCTGCACTGCATGTTGAGACTATTGGGGGGCTTCCCGCCTTGAATCTCCGTGGGCCAAACACGAGCAGAGTGACAAAGATGAGCACCCCTATTATGCAGGCGAAAATTATTGCTATTGGCGAATATCCGCAATCCGATACCTGCTGTAAGAATTCGCCCACATCGCTTAATATTTCCGCTTGTGCTAGGAAAACAGATTGCGAAACAATCCAATGTGCAAGGACATGAAGCGCCATGAGTGGAACGCCGAATTTAAACGGAAGCCCCAGTAGCCATGTGCCTCGTTGACTTCCAGTTGGTGAACCTACCATCAGTGTTTGTCCCTTAAATGCAAATGTGCTCCAGTCCGCCGAGATAAACATGGAGCAGATTATGCCGTTGTACCATGTCCAAATAACCGCTAAGCAGACTTGAGCCACGTTGGCCGTTATCGCTGTTTTGATTAACGATTCACTGGAGATGTAAATCAGGGCTGTCTCATTGACGATGCCAAAGCCCATATCCCACAATCCACGGATACCGGACTCCATTATAGACGGGTTCTTTTCCCGTAGGAAGATGAAGCCCATAGCGAAGCCAAGCACTACCACCGCGAGGCACAAAATGAAACTACAAACAAGCAGCTGTCAGTAAGCGGCCAATCTAAATGTTTGTTGGTTTCGGGGGGATGTCTCACAATAGAGAAAACGCTACCCAACGCGTCTTTGACACTGCTCGATGCCATCTTCCGGGGCTGGATGTATAGGGTTGTGGGTCTCTCCGCCAGCTCCAGAAGCGATAGAGGTGTCGCTTATTGGCAAGGCACATATGGTGTGTTGTTTGGTCTTCGATCTGCAAAAATGACATTGCAGCATCCCCCACCGTTGTAATAAGCTCCTCAGCCTTGAATCTGAAGAGAATATACAACATTGCCACGATTTTGAGAACATTGAAGGCGATCAACACCTTCATGATCTTGAAACTAAATTGCACTGAGCAAATTTCTGTAGCCTTTTTGCTCAAGCAATGATCAATGCTCTTGCCGAAGACCTCCCAGTCTGTTGACGAGATGGACCTCGTGTTGCAGTATTTCTCGGCTGAGCAAATCCAACCGTTGGTATATTCCGAGCCAGGGGCAGTATAACCGAAGGCAAGGATGGATGTGGTAATATTGCGCTCGTGGGATACAAGTGCCACGTCCCGCCGCGTGGTCTGAAACCCACTGCTATACGCACGAATACACTGCTCATTTTCAAGGCGCTCATATGTATCTACCTCTTTTTGAAAACGTTGGTACCTTGCGAGCACTTTATCACTGGGACGATAACGCGTCCCCGCAGCGGTGGTCAAATTGAAGGCGGCGCCAGTTATGAAGTCAGGGGTGACGACAGCCCAGCTGTATTCGTTGACTGAAATGACCTTCAGAGTTGTTAGCCGTAGCAGTGGGCGACAGGATACAAAAGAGCTACCTTGAAAACCAAAGAGTTGTATCTGAAAACATCGCGTTAACCAGTGCTTCAAGCCTAGCCTTTTCACGAACACTTACAGCAGATGAAAGGGCAAAGAACTGCTCGCGAGGACGATGCAGATGACCGTCTTCCTCAGCGAAATATGCCGAAAATTTCGGAATCCAATGACGCCAATATGGAGCCAACTCCCCCTTGTATGCGCGTGGTCAATCTCATTTCTCGTGGGCGAGCTGAAGGCTTGCACAAAGGCATTGCTCCCTGAAAGCAGCACCGTCGACAAGACGTTCACGATCAAATGCAGCCAAAGATTCAGGCGATTGGAGGTTGCGCAGTCGCCGCGATGTATCGTTCCTCGATCCTCGACGATTCCATATCGCTTTCTTGCCCACACAAGCCACCCGATGTTGAAGAAGAGGACGACCGTGGCCAGAAATGTGAATCCCCGTAGAACAAAGCTCCGGCTGCCGAACCACCGTTGTTGGAACGATTTTTGTTTGAAGGAATCGTCGATTCGGGTCTCTACATGTCCTTGATCCATATCTTGGACGTAGGGTATCTTTTCATCGCCGACGCATATTGTCTTGACGCATGAAGAAACCGCGGGGTTGTAGTTCGATTTATTGCTTCCATCCTCTGCTCCCTTCTAGTCTTCTGGAGGCGAAGCAGCACCAGTTAACGAGTTAGGACAACCTTGGCTATTCTCGGAACCTATCACGAGAGTCCACGGTCGGGACTATTTGATGTGGCTTGCAAACGGCGAGAGCATTATTCTCATTTTGGCGCAAGGCTGCGGCAATGCCCAGCTCGAGGGGTTCGCTGAAGAAGCGTCAAACCGTAGACGGCGCCTTTAACGACTGTTTCTATCCAGAGTCGCAGTTCTGTAGTCAGTCAAGTATCCCAAGGCACGATAGAGCATGGCATGGAACGTAAAGTGATGCAACTCGCCAATCCAACCATCCCTGCTGAAAGGGTTTCAAGGCGAATGCCGCTCTCGTCAGAAACGACGTTGCCTCCAAGGGGTCATCAGCCTTATAAAAGAACCATGTGCGCTTGCTGGAGAAGACCATCGTATTGCTGTCCATGACGGGGACTTGGAGTTTATCGGCTCGTCTGCTGTTTCTCGGCCTTGTAACCCTCGCTCTCTTCTTTTATCTCTCGCATAGCACTCTTTCCAGCATGGGTCCCGCGGAGTCGTCTTCCCCTCTTCCCCGCGTCTCAATCCAGGCAGTCCGCGACACTCTGCCCGCTGGCGAACCGTGTGAGCTGGAAGTGACTGTCCACAACGACGATGCAGAGTCCACAATGACGATCCTAGGCTGGAATAATCCGCTCGATAGCATGGCCGTTATTCTTGGCGTTTTCGAAATCCATGATAAAGAGACGGGTAACTTGGTTGAGATGGATCGTATACAGGTGTCCAGAATGCTTCCTCCTCCGCCCGAGCAGTTGGTCGAGATCGCACCGAGAGCATCAGAGAAACTGCATGTGGTGCTGACAGGAGTCAGCCTGTCTCCGGGTCGCATGTATTCAATTCGTGCAAAGGGATGGTGGCAGTCCATTTGGCACTTGTCCAAAGACGAGGTGATTGAAAAGTATCTCAAAGACCAGTCTGGGGCAGTTTCGGGGGACTTCTTGTCCAACTCTGTGGAAGTTAAACAGGTATGCCAGCAAGACTGATTCTAGAGTGCTTACGGGCGCCTAACTGCGTTGTTCTCTAGGCTTAGCTTTGACAAACGCGGAATACTCCCTTTGGCTATGATCTTGATTCTATATGCTTTGTAACTACACGTTGAACAGAGATGCTCATGCCTCCAGCCTAACGTGGCGGTTTGCTCTACCATCTTCCTTGAGACTGTTACGGGAAATGCAAGAGTACTTTGTCCATATGAAGATTCATTGTTGCTGAAAACTTTCTATTTTCTTCGTTCGCCTTGAAAGATTCAGGCACATGTGTGCTCCGCATATTAAACGCTTTTGTAGTTACCATGGACCCGGTCGCGGCAATAATATGAACCCGTATAATAGTCATGCCCAGCCAGCTGACTTCCTGTTATCCCACAGCTTCAAGAGACACCATTCCGAATAAAAAGTCGAACAGATTAAGAAAGCAAGGGAGTGTGGAAGGTGTGGCAGGGCCATGTAGAAGTTGGCGACGCTCCACCGGCAGGACAAATTCCTCGTCAAGCCCATTAGAGGTCGCAAATTTAAGCTATGGCAGTAGTTATCTGACTTATTCTGTTCGCCATGCGGTGGTACAATTTGTTCGCGCCACTAAGGAGTAGAACGCTGGCGAGCGATGGGCAACGCAACGGTATTCGTCGTTTCTGTTCTTTGGACCGTTTGGCCGACGGACGGTCCTTAACTGTTCGGCTACCCGTCAGCAATAATGCACCCAGCCCTAGGCCTCGGAACAGTTCCAAATATAGGCAATGATGTAGGGAGATGAGTATTGTGGAGTTAGTTGAGCCGTTGGATCAGCGAAAGGTATTAGAAGTAAAAAAAAAAAGAAGAAAAGTCTTGTAAATTCCTTATCTAGCTGTGTCAAGCATAGTTGGTGATAGTGTGGGATACTATAACACCCAAGATTCTGTAAATAGCATTTGTTCTTTCATAATTTCTCAAAGGTCGGCGTCCGTTTCTCCAGTCCGGACAGCAGCGCGGTAGCAACGTCGCTCGTTTGAAGCGCAGCACTGTTCCAGACACCCGTATACCGAAGCCCTAAAGCCCGCAGTGTGGTTAGCGCCAATGGGGACTTTATCTTGGGATAAGAAAGGTTTTCACGTACCATCCTGAACGGTATGATCTCTGGACCAGTTCAACAGCTCCTTTGTTCCCTGCACCGCAATGGGGCTCTTGCTCGCCATCAGAACTCCCATTTCAATGGCCGCACTCACAGCATCCGCCTTCGCCTCGTAAACCGAGTTCACAAATCCCACCCGCATTGCTTCCTCTGCGCCGAAAGGCCTTGCCGTCATAGACACCTCCTTCACCCAGCCATAGGAGCCCACAATTTTAGGGAGCCGAGTAAGAGTGCCGATATCCGCAGCAAGGCCAATGTCCACTTCCTTGACACAGAATTGGGTGTCTTTGGAACAGATTCTCACATCCGCGGTACACGAGAGATCGATTCCGAGCCCATAGGAAATTCCGTGCATCACACAAATAACCGGCTTCTCACATTTCTCCACGGCCGTGATGCAATCCTGGAAGCTGGCAACGTGCCGCCGCATTTGAACCGCAATCCGTCCGGGATCTAATTTTCCCACTCCCTCCTTGCCGCCTAGCATGCCCTGTGACGCGGCCTTGACATCGAGACCAGCTGTAAAAGCGCGAGGCCCGGCACCAGAAAGAATGACGGCACGGACATTGGGGTCGACGGAAAGCTGGTCAAAGATCTGACGGAGCTCTAGCCACATCCTGTGGTCATCGCGAGAACGGCATTAGCATAGGAACCAAACGTAGGAGGAGATTAGGGGTGCCGTAGCGCATACTCCTCAAAGAAGGCATTGAGCTTATCTGCCCGATTTGTCTCGACATGAGCCACGTATTCCCTAGGAAACGAGACCTTGAAATGCTTCGGGTTGTAGGAAGCTGAGCCGTGACCAGTCATCCTCGTTCAAGGCTATCGAGTAGAGTGAAACGTTAAAGGGTGGGCGCGAGGACGACAACAGGGGCTGAGAGCTGCTGATTTGGGCGTTTAGGAATGATTCAAAGCGTTTTCACGTATGCTGTTGCTTTTGAGCGCTCTGGTTTGGGGATGAGGCGCTTTGCGTCCGTCTTCTGCATCGTCGTCGGCGTGCCCATGACAGCCGGGCATTGGACCTCGGCTCATTGACGCCTGGCTAGTTTGTTCACTCGTTGCTAGTCGGCAAAACAAGAAGCCACCCATTCATTGCAATGAGCCCGAGATACTGTGAGAGATGTGATATGGCTGCAATTCGCTATGGGCTCACACTTGCAAGAATCACGGTTTGAGAAAACAGTTTCCCCGAGTTCGGGTATTTTGTCTGCGAAGTGCGCGTGCAGATGGAGTATGTACTAACCCAATGAAAATGGCGACTTCCGAGAGTAATAGCTACAAAATGGCAGCTGAAATTATTGGATTGACTACAGGGGGCTTTCTGTGAGGCAAAATTGATGTGCGTTGGGAGGATCATTCAGATTGAAAGTCAAGAAGGGCTTCGCCAACAGTCCTTCCTAGTGTGAGATGTAGAGGACGCTCTTGACCTTGTCTGTCGAGTGAGTCGACGGTATTGGCATGGCAACTACGGAGTACGGAGTCGTCCACTGAAGGAGATAAGGGTGCACGAGCTCCGGTGCTTCCGGCGAAAGAGAAAATAGGTCTTTTGGAGACATTGGAATTGGACGTCCACCTCAGGTGACAACAGGCCTACCGAGAGAGGCTGCTATGTTGCTGACCATATTCCGTAGATCGCTCACTCGGACTCGGATTCCTCGGGTTGCATAACCTTCTCATCCAGCTCCTGATGCGGTCACAGCAGGTTAGTGGGCGTGTCGCAGCGAAGGCGTATATGGTCAAACGTACTTGGCTCAGCCGCAGCTTCAAATTCTGCAGCTGGCTCTCCTTAATCACCAGGTGCCTGTCGTCGTCCAAGTCCTCCACAATGTAGTCGTGCCGTTCTTCATCGTACTTGAGGATGATGGCCTTGACGGAAGGGTCGCACTCGATCAGCACGCCTACCAGCGGGTTAGTTCCAGAGGGTGGAGATCGGAGAATGGCCCCCGGGAAAGTAGTACCTTTGACAGCACGCGGCATGTTGGAGTAGAGACTACGAGAGACGCCTTGCCTGCCCGATTCACCTCTTCCTGCCCTCGACTTCAACGGGTCAATATTGCCAGCACTTGGCGGATTCTCCCTGGGATTATGTAAGATTGGATCAACTATGATCCGACCGAGGCGAGCTAAACCGCATGTGGATGGTGGCTTGGCATCTGAATAAGCAACGCCACGGAGAAGCCGGAAAAGCTTGATTTGACGCTCCGTGCTTGGCATTCATTGATCAACCCGGCGGAGATTTTTCAGTGAGGATTTCCGCGCTTGATTGCTGTGTGTACGATTGGAAGGGTCAGTCTGGGAGGACAACCAGGCCTTGACAATAGTCCATGAAGTATTGGCGGGCATTATGTAAAAGTAACCTCTACTCCAGATTTTCGATGCTGGGGTTGGTGACAAACAGGGAAATGGGCAACTTTGTCGAGACAGCCGTTCCCCCCTTGATTGGCGGAGCAGAAGCTGAGAGATGCCAGCCGTGGAGCCGAATGCAACAGACGGTGGAGATGTTACATTGTGGTTGCTGCTGTGGCTGCTGGAAGACAAAGGGCACCGGGCCTTGACGTCAGAAATGCCGACCTGATGCGGGTTTCCAGATAATTGATACTCAGCTCTGCTTCCTGATCGACAGCCAACCACGGTAGTTACATAGCACTAACGGCTAGCTTTTGCCCCGGATGCGCTGGAAATGCAGCCCGCCTCCCGGCAGTTGTGGGTGTGCCAGACTTGTGCTCAAGTGATGAAAACTCAGTAGTGCCGCCGCATGCCCGGCAGGTGTGGCGATATATCTACTCCGATCTAACGGCCCGGCCAAACTGCGATCCTTCAAACCTTTTCACCCCCTCCTCCCCTCCCTTCCCCCGGCCTCCTTCTGATCCTGCGACCGCCAAAGAAAGCACCCGCGCCCAGCGTCACACTGGGCTACCAGCAGGACTCGAGAATGGCGGCTGTCCAAGGGAACGCGTCGAAACCGACAGAAAATCCGCGTGCTGCGCATGGAACGGACGACCTTGAAAAGGAAGCCGAGAGCGTCAAGTCACTGCCCACATACGATGCCAGGAATAACGATCCGTTCGGCGATGAAGAATTCGCAGAGGTCAAATATAAAGTGATGACCTGGTGGTAAGCATTGCGATCCTTCCTCACGTTCAATCACAAGCCAGATTTGCTAAGAATACACCTGCTAGGCAATGCGGAATGAGTACGCCCATCTCGTCCGAATCCTCCAGAGCTAGCCCATAAACTAACGCTCTTGCAGTCATGATCGCGGAAACCATCTCACTCGGTATTCTTTCGCTACCCTCCGCCGTTGCAGCGCTAGGCCTCGTCCCCGCTGTCATCATAATCGTTGGATTGGGCTTGCTGGCGACCTACACAGGATATGTCATTGGCCAATTCAAAATGCGATATCCGCATGTCCACAACATGGCAGACGCAGGAGAGATCCTCATGGGTCGCTTCGGACGCGAGCTTCTTGGTGGAGCTCAAATCCTCTTTCTTGTCTTCGTCATGGGAAGCCACGTCCTGACATTCATCGTCATGATGAACGTCCTCACTGATCATGGGACATGCAGTATCGTCTTTGGTGTCGTCGGGATGATTGTTTCTCTGTTGTTCACCTTGCCCCGGACGCTAAAGAATGTCTCGTGGTTATCAATTTCCTGTATGAACCCCCCTGAATCTACTCAAAGCACTCTCTACCGGTGCTAACCGTGTTTCATAGCCTTCATCAGCATATTTGCTGCAGTCATGATCACTATGGTCGCCATTGGCATCCAGCGGCCGGGGAAAACGGTTGACGCAACGGTCGACACAAGCTTCTATAAAGCGTTTATTGCCGTCACAAACATCATCTTCGCCTATGGTAAGTTTGTCTCATTCTCATAACAAATTGAACCCAAGTTAATGTGTACTAGCTGGGCACGTTGCCTTCTTCGGCTTCATCTCCGAGCTAAAGGAGCCAGCGGGATATCCCAAGGCTTTATATCTGCTCCAGGGAACCAACACGCTACTGTACACTGTTTCAGCAGTGGTTATATATCGATTCGGAGGAAAGGATGTGGCTTCTCCTGCTTTAGGGTCCACTGGGCCAATTGTTCGAAAAGTCGCCTATGGTGTTGCTATCCCTACAGTAAGCTTCTTATCGTACAAACAACCCAATGGGCATACTGTTGACCAGCAATCAGATTGTTATCGCGGGTGTCATCAACGGCCATGTTGCGGTCAAATACGTTTATGTGCGGTTGTTCCGTGGAACCGACCACATGTCCAAGCGAAACTTTCTTTCCATCGGAACCTGGGTTGGCCTTGCCACGTTATTGTGGCTTCTTGCATGGATTATTGCGGAGGCAATCCCGGTGTTCAACAACCTCTTGAGTTTGATTGTAAGTCCGGTCTGGATTGCAACGCGAAGGTAACTGTGCTAATCAAGCAAACAACAATAGACTGCTCTGTTTGCCAGCTGGTTCACTTGTAAGTCTGCCCTCAAACTAACCCTCGCATCATGAAAAAAAGATATGGTTACTTATCTATCCAATACCAATAGACGGGCTCAGCGGCGTGTTTTGGCTCTATTTGAACTATGGCAAATATACGTCATCACCGAGAAAGATTTTCCTCACTGGTCTCAACATATTCGTCTTTTGTGCCGGTGCTGCAATTGTATGTTATCCGAAATCCACGAAGCTGGTGTTTTCGAACTAACCAATCCGGCCTTGCAGTGCGGTCTGGGCCTGTACGTCTCGGGGAGGGCGATACATGAGAGTTCTAGCGGGTCGGCGTTCTCGTGCGCAAACAACGCTTGAGTCAGACTGTGAAGTATGTATGTATGTACATCGCATTTGGGTGGGATCTTTTAGTGGGATTGCGTTATACGGCGTTGGTGTTTGCCCCGGCTTGATTGAATGAATTGGCACGAAGTATGAGAGACGGTTTCCCCGATAGAAGTTTACTAGAGTAAATCGGGTGCCAGCTCGTTTGAGTCTCTGGCTGTTGTCTTGGAGGCATGTACAGTACTTGACACGAATCAGTGTTTGTTCCAAATGCAGATGTCTACACACCCAGAAGTAGATTTGCTTTGTGAATGAATTGTGTCAAGATTCGCATCCATTAAGTAGTAGTTATTGACTAGCAACGTTCGACCGTCACAGACTGAGAAGAAAAGCATGACTGAGCCGCCAACTGGGTCAGGAGGTAGATGCGGAGTTCTTTTATTCCCTTGCAAAGGGCGTAGGGATCGAGAGACGAAAGAAACGAAAAAAGGGGTATTAGTTACATAAGAATAACAAACTAGTCATGCCGAACAAGAACCAGACCAGATGCAAAGAAAAGTTCCCAGCAATGCAATCTAAAAATGAGGCGTGTTCAATGCCATCAACATCAATAAGCCAGACACCAAGCCAGCACATGGGAGAGTCATAACCCAGCCGCTGAAGATCCAGAGCAGCTGGCGCCAGTTGACCGCACCGAGGTCGTAATTCATGAGGGCCGTTCCGACAGTCGCACCGGTCAAGCACTGAGTGGTGCTTACAGGCAGACCCAGGCGTGACGCGAGGAGGACGGTGATGGCAGCTCCCAATTCCATGGAGAAGCCACGAGTGGGCGACATCTGCGTGATGCGGTTACCAAGGGCACGGATGATGTGGTAGCCGAAGAACCAGAAACCGGCACCGAGGAGGAAACCGGCAATGACGAGGATCCAGATGGGCGTGTCGGTCTTGGTGGTGACGGCGCCGACGCGGTAGGTCTCGTACGCGGCAACCCAGGGGCCTACCGCGTTAGCCACATCGTTGGAGCCGTGAGCGATGGACATGACCATGGCACTGGCAACTTGGGCATACGTCCACAGATGCTCGACTCTGTTGTCGTAAACGGCGGCGCGGGCGTGCGTCGCGGCGAGGCTTTCGGAATGGTGCGTGACACAATCGCGGGTGACACCCTGCAAGAGGAGGAACTTGACAATGGACCAGAGTCGGAGGGGATGATAGAGCGGAAGATGTCGGTAAGGGGCCAGGAAGCGCTCCTCCGGTTCCAGGTGCTGTTTGGCGGCGAGTGCGCTGGAGGCAGGAGGGGTGGGACCCTTTTCGGCGTTGGCGGCGTCGGCGGACTCACTGCCGTCCTTTTTGAGGTCGTCGGGGGTGTCTGCCTGGGCTTGATGGGGGCTTTCATAATAGTCGATGACCACGTCTCCGTCCGCGGGCGCTGGCCAGTAGAGCCATGGGTCATCCTTCCACAGCAAGGGACCGAGGGGAATATGGCGGGCGCGGACACGGGCGTCCTGTTTGATCAAACGGCGGTGGAAGTACGGCAAGAAGAAGGTGTAGGCGATGGCCAGGCAGCCGAAGAAGACGCCGAAGATGATTCCACACATCTTGCCCACACCGAACTCCTCAAAGGACTGGCCGTTGGGGATTTCGACAATGATGAAGAGCGCAAGGAGGGCGGCGGTGAGGGCAAGGTAGAAGGGGATCAAGCGCATGCCCCATTTCAGGCTGTCGGTGCGGTTATGCACCGAGTACTTGATGGTTGCAAAGATGAGGGCGGAGAAACCGGCGGCGATGGCGGGAGCGATGCCCCAAGACGCAGCGACCTGGGAGACGGAGCCGCTGGTCCACGCCCATTTGATGTTGGCCTGTGACGCGAACCCGACGCCGATCAACGCACCGACGACGGTCTGCGTTGTTGAGACGGGGAATCCAAGGCCGGTTGCGAGGATCAGCCAAAAGGCACTGCCGACCTCCGCACAGCCCATGCCCAGGACGAGGGTGGCGGGCGTCGCCTCGAACCGCTTGATGTCGATGATTCCGTTCTTGATGGTCTTGGTGACGCGCGAACCCAGGGCGACGGCGCCGACGAATTCCGTGACCATGGAGAGCAGGCCGACCTGGGGCATGGTCAGGGTGCGGGCGGCCACGGAGGTGGCATAGGAGTTGGCGACATCGTTGGCGCCGTTACCAAAGGAGCTGGCACAGAAGGCGATGGAGATGATCGCGATGATCCAGTCGTACTTTTCGAGGACGGCCATTGCGGGAACGAGGTTTCTCTCTTCTCTCTCCGGGGATCTGGGGTGTCAAGAGGTGAGAGAGGGGTTGACACTCTGGCGAGAGGTGGGAGGGCGGCTTGGGTGCTGGGAAAGACAGTGCAGCATTGGACCCGGCCAGCAGGATATATATATGTAGATACGGCGGCTGTTTCTTTTTTTTTTCCTTCCTGGCAGGCCCTGACACTCAATTTCGCCTCGTGGGAGCGCCCATTGTCCCCCCAGCAGGACAGCGGAAACCCGGGCGGGCGAGACCAGGGCGCCGGCGGCCAACGAGGAGCGCGCATCGACGGAACGTGGACGCCAAGCCCAGGCGGCGCGCTGCCAAGACCGGATCCCTTCCGCCAAGGACTCCCCACCCAGGAGCGGGCCTGTTGATGTGGCGGGCCAATGGGAGCGCGGGTATGGCGCACGTTCCGGCAGGATCGCGCTTCACAGGGCCGGGCGGGCGGCGGCTTGGCGCGTGTGATTGGCCAGTGCGTGTCCGGCGCGCACACACGAGCCCTTTCCTCGAAAACTGCCTTGCCGGAAATCTCTGCAAACAACGCCAGATCGGGTCTTGTTTCTCTGCGGGTTTTGGCGTCCAACGTGCGCTGCTGGCCTGGTGTCATTGCTCGCCCCAGCGCCGGTGTCGACAGTCTGTCTATATTCTTTTATTCCCCACGTGTGTGGACCAACTGCAGCAAATTCTCCGATCGAGATGTGAGAGAACAACCAGCTAATTATTGTACTGGTTCGCTAACTAACTACGCGAAACGCACATCCCACAGCCTGCGTCCAAGCGTCCTGCGAGAAAGCTTGGTCTCCCATCACAGTCTGTCCTCCATCGCGTCAGATCGTATCTGCCAGCGTCCCATTGCAACCCTGACCTCGGTCACTCTACTCGCTTGCCCATGTCGACCCGCAATCTCGAGTCACGGAGTGGCCGTGGGATGGAATCAGAGCACGCAATAAAGAGATCGAAAAGGTTTGGACCAAACGCGTCTCGCCGTTCCAAGTTGAGCTTGTGGCGACGGACTGGAAAAAGTCTGTTAATTGGCTCGTCTCCAGGCCAAATACGAAAAAGAAAAAGCGTGCCGACACAACAGGTATCTATCTGCATCAAGCTGCCCTGGGCTTGATGGAGCTGGTCGGCTCACTCGTTCAACTGCCTTGCTTCTCTTTGACACGGAGTGATTCGCCAACCAACATGCCCCCCAAGGCTCACAGCAAGACTGAACTCGAAACCTGTGTTAATTAACTCCTGACAAGTCTAGAGCATCTTCTCCCGAGACAGTGTTGGTGCGTTCTGGAAACAACCACTTGATCACGGCGTTCAATTATTGGACAGCTAAACCCATCTCCAACGCTCCTTCATTATCGCCAACATTCCGAGAACGATTTCGTTTCGCAATCTTGAATCACCCTGCGGTTTGTCAGACGCTGCTGGATTAAACGGTGGGCGTGGGGACGAGTTGTGTCTGACAGCAGTCTTCACATCCCCCCCAGCAAGCTATCCCCAAACCAACCGGAGACTGATGGTCAACGTTCCATTCTTCCTCACACCCTCGGCCAGGTGTCATGTCATTGCGCATCGGCGTCCTTGAGTACCTGGTAGCAATGTATCAAATCCCCCCGTGCCTCCCCTGGCCACCAGCGGCTTCTGACAGCAAACCTAGAATACAACGTCTATTAATAATTCTAATCATGGCTAACCTTTGTGCGTTGAACCTGCTACCTTGACACTGCACCCCGGCTGACCATTGGGGTCATGCCAGTCAAATGTGCTAGATTGGGCTTCCATTCGCGCATATACCCTGATGGGATCGAACGCTTGGGGCTGAGAATCTATTAACATGCCAAAGATTATGTTGCCCATCTCATTGCACCGATCCTATGTATTGCACATAAAGACGTACACAGTTGACACGCTAGAAAACCCAATGCAAAGCAACGCAAGACGCGAAAAGTCCTAAAATTTCATTTCACTTCTACCAGGTCTATCAGAGCTAGATGCCCAGCAGTGCATATAGGATGTTAAGGAACATCTTGCTGGCTTGATCACAACTCGGTTTTCGCTGGGGACACTTCCCTTGCTGCCACTGATTCACGATCCGACATCCCCTTGACGACAATGCTCGTTATCAACTCATACACTAGATGAGCTGCGGTAAATGCTGTGTCTCCCCCCCCGCTGTCGTAAGCTGGAGCCACCTGCCGGACTAATTAGCTCTCAAAGCACTCAAAATCTCGGAACGAAGAGGCCGCACACACCTCCACAATATCTGCGCCAACAATATTCAAATTCCGCAGGCCGGTAATGATCCGCAATAGCTCCCTCGAGGACCATCCCCCAGACTCTGGTGCTCCCGTGCCCGGAGCAAAAGCAGGGTCCAAAACATCTATATCGATGCTTAGATATACCGGAATCTCCCCGCCAACGCGTTCGTAAATACGTTTGATAATCCCATCCGCTCCAATGTCGTCTATGTCATCGGTTGATATCCGCAGGAATCCTTGCTTGTCGTCATTCTCAAAGTCGCTCCAGTCATCTCCCGTCAGCCGGGTGCGAAGCCCAGCGTGGACATTCGAGCTATTAGAAAGAATCCCCTCCTGAGACGCTATCCAAAACATGGATCCGTGATTAAACGCTGCCTGATTTGAGCCCCAGATGCTTGGGTACGCGCTTGGATGCAATGTGTCCAAATGAGCGTCAAAATGCACCAGCGCCAATGGTTTATTATGGATCTCCTTCAACGCCCTCAAAGCTGGGAGTGCGATGGAGTGATCGCCGCCCAAAAGGATCAACTTTGGCTTGTCTCCATACAAACTGTTGGCACTTGGGCGGTTCCCGAGCTCGTACAGTCCTTCGTACATCATCCTAGAGGCTACGTCGTTGTCCAGCGGGGTAACTGGAATGTCACCGCAGTCGAGGATTCGTGCCCAGGATCTATAAGGGTTAACGCCTCCATGGACGTTAAACCCACGGGACGGAAGATGACGCGCGGAAGCCTCCCGAATAGCACGAGGCCCAAGTCGTGCTCCTGTGCGTTATATCATCGATCAGTGAGGGAGCAAAGCAACCTGTATCAGAAAAGCATACCCGGTCTATATGTGACAGCTGAATCAAAAGGAATCCCAATAATTCCTACATCAAACAACTCATCCGTCCCTGTCAGACATCGATGATAAGGAAGATGGCCGAAACTTGATATCCCCGAAAACGCCCACTAAAAATCAGATCATGTCAGTGTTCAGCTAACTCTGGGAATACATAGAATGCTTCTCACATCGAATCCCCATTTACTGGCTTTATCATCCAAAGAACCCTCGAGTAAATGTTGGGTATATCTGCCATCCTGGCTGTCCGCCGCAATCAAAACATTGAAGAATGCCACCAACACCCAAATCATGGCGACTATGCTCCAGAAAAGTACGCTTCTAGGGCTATAATAGTTGGAGCTTATTGGCGCAAGAAAAAATACAGACTTGAGTTTCGTTCTTGGTAAGCTTAACTACCGACCTTATCCCTGAGAAGTGAGCAGCGAACACCCTTTTATAGACGCCCTGTTCAGGCTGGATTCCGCTCCCGGCCTCAGCTCGGTAGTGCCGTCAATGTCCAGCTTAATGTAGGCTACTGATCTCTGCCAAATCCTCCATCAATCGCCCCGCCTGCGGCCTAGAAGCTGGAGGTGCGGTTGGACGAGAAAACGGATAACCCTACGATGATCTGCAAGAAACGAAAGATCAACTGAAGATTGTTGCACTTAAGATCGGAGATTGTTCGCATTGTGTACTCTTAGTATTGACCTATTGCATATCTCAGAACATTGATTGCGTGTCCATCCCTAGAGTGGAGTGTATATCGGGATGTCGGCTGGGATATGCACGTCGAGCTGAGAAATCACAGCTGCGATGTCCCCAGATAACTACTCAATTGAAACTCCGATGAACGGAGCTGGATTGTTATATTAACTAACCAAGGGCCTGTTGCTTTCTTTTGAAAATACCCACCGGCATTTTGCTCACAAACAATTGAGTCCTGCCCCTTTAATATTTCACAACCAAGCTTAAAATATCGCCATGTCTGAGATTGTCTGGGCTGTGCTTTTCATTTCTATTTCCACTACTGCTGCTTGGTTCTTCTACACCCGGGTAGTCTGGCCTGTATTTTTTACCCCCCTTTCGAAAGTACCACATGCCCACCCATCAGTGGGAATATCGTCATTCTGGATAAATCGGATTCGCAGCACAGGATATGCGAATGAAACCATCCATCGGATTCACGAGAAATATGGGCCCGTTGTACGGTTGGGGCCAAATGAAATCAGCATCAACTGTGTTGATGAAGGAGTGAAAAAGGTCTATGGGTCGGGCTTTGAAAAAAGCAATTGGTATCGCAAGTTTGATTATTTCGGGTATGCATCCTGGCCTTCAAAGAAGGTCTATGTACTGATCAGTAAATCAAGCGCGAGCAACATGTTTTCCGCCAGAATTAATGCCGAGCATACTAAACGAAGGCGACTGTTAAGTCACATATATAGCAAATCAACCCTGATGCACTCACCGAATCTTCACCAAAACGTCATAGAGGTTATGTTACAGCGCGTTACACCAATATTAGCCGAAGCGGCTAACACTGAATCGCCTTTGAATGTGTTTGATCTATATCGGGCATCCACATTGGACTTTGTGAGCGCGTTCCTTTTCGGTCCTGAGTCTGGCACAAATTCCCTCGAAAATCGGCAAGAAAGAGCAAATATATTTCGAATGTATGCCGATGAATCCAAGGCCCCCATTTGGCGTCACCCTCTTCTCGGGTTTATTGCTCCTTCGATGAACAACTCTATGGACCCCGGCCTTTTTCACCTTTGCATGAGAATGTGCGAGTCTGCAAAAGCGCGGTTACTCAGCCACATTGACTCTGGAAGCAAAGGTCTCGTTTTTCACCAGCTTCAAGAAGCAGGTTTAAATCCAATCGAAATGGCAAGTGAACTAGTAGACCACTTTAGTAAGTCGTCAATGGCCACATCACAGTTCAAATCAAGAATACTTACTCGTTCAGTAGCCGCCGGCCATCAGACTTCCAGTGCCACGTTGACATTTTTGAGCTACCAGCTTTCCGCATGCCCTGACGTGCAAGAAAAGCTAAGGGAAGAGATGCGTTCGATTTTACCAATGCCGATGAGGACGGGAGATCCGTCCATGGCCTCATATCTCAAGTCTCTAGACGCACTACCTCTGTTAGACGCAGTTGTAATGGAAACCCTACGTTTATACCCGCCTATTGCTGGACCCCAACCGCGAATCACGCCAAACCGCCCCATGCCGCTTGGCCCCTTCACCCTCCCTCCTCGAACTGAAATAAGCGCTCAAGCATTCTCGTTGCACCGCAATCCTGATGTTTTTCCAGATCCACTCCACTGGGTACCTGAAAGATGGCTTGAAAAAAATAGAAACGACATGCGGCGGTGGTTCTGGGCGTTTGGAAGTGGAGGCAGGATGTGTATTGGGAGCAATTTCGCCATGATTCGTAAGTCCAAGTCTCCCAGTAGTTCTCCAGCATCAGCTTGAGTTCAAAACATGCCTAATAATCTGATTCTAGAAGTGAAGCTGCTCGTTTCAATAGTGTACACCCAGTTTCGCACTGTTTTAGTCGAGAACGAAAAGCCAAGTCCGAGAGATGGCTACAGGGGAGGCCCCAAACGCGAAGTTTTAGATTTGCAGTTTTCTTGCCTTTGACTTGGAAGATGCAGTGCTCGAGAGATTGAACAGGGTCCTAATCTTAGATTTCTGTTCTCCGGTTCGCCGGGTTTCTTAGTTCTAGTACCTTTGAACCAATGAAACATACCAAGGATGCCGAATATGAAGCTGCGGCAAAGGAAATCAAACCTCGATAGTCGCGGGATTGGCTAATGATCTCTCCAGCTATTGGGACCCCCGTTAAAGCCCTGTGGGAAAAAGTTAGTTTTTGAGCATACAAAAATCAAGAGGTATGATCTGGTTGAATCCGCATACGCAAAACTTGCCAGTGAATACGCTGTTGAATAATATCTGCCATAATGGCGGACATCGCATAGCTCCCCCAAGCAAACTGGCGCTAGGCTGATGTTGCTTCCACTTGTAAAGCCGAACGCGACGGAAAATATGATCGTCGCTGGTATGCTGCCTTTGGCAGGAAGCCAAATCGCAAGAATGGAAATGATGCACAGGACATTAGTGGCGATAAGGGTATTTAATCGACCCAACCTGTCCGCGATCATTCCGGGGAGCCACCGACCGGGGAAAGAGCCAACATTCATAAATATCACCATTTGATAGGACAATTGCTTAGGGATGCCGTGGGCGAGTGAATAGGAGGAGATGTAGGATATAGGGACAAAGTAACCCCATTCAAGGAAGAAAACTCCAGCAGTCATAAAGGCAAAGGCAAAGTGTCGAAATATCGTAAAATCCGGTAGAATCAACTTTTTGGTAGTCTCTTTCGGAGAGAGCCGGGATCTGATGAAAATGCAACCAGGTATGAGAAGAAATAAAGAAATCAAAGCGAGAATCCGCGTCGTCCATGCGAAGCCAACCTGAGGGGCAAGAGATCCGAAGACAAGCGGCAACACGATTCCCCCAATGCTCGCGCCAGAAATCGCAATTCCCGTCGCTGTTCCTCTCCGGACATCGAAAAAGTGGGATACACACGCAACAGGAACCACAAAGATAAATGAAGTTGCAAATCCACCCAAAACTCCAAAGACAAGTAGAAAATGCCAATACCGCCGGCAGAAGCTCAGGAGGACAAGAGCAAGAAGAAGCATGATCGATCCCACATAAGTCAGCATGCGCGGGCCTCGCTTGTCAAAAATGGGGCCAATTTGAATGCCGCAAAAAAGCGCCATGAAGTTGTAAACACCAAAAATCCATCCGATTTTCCCCTCTCCGACGGTATCGAGCTGATGGGTCGATATCCAGGCTTGATAGACGCCGACGCTATTCATGAGCCCCAGGCCGGCCATCACCGTGCAAAAGCTGCCGAAAACGACCAAGGAGGCTTCGAGACGGGCTTTTGGTTCGGAGGCCTCAGTAATTGGAGAGGGTTCTGAGATGGAGAGTTCCGCATCTGATGTGTCTGGCATTATGCGAATCTGGCGCTGGCAAGCAGGATCCAAGTGAATATTGCCTACAATGTGTCCGAATCTGAAGGGGCAACGCATAGGACAAACAAAGGTAACCTGCCTACATAGGTTTCGTCGTGGAAGACGGAGGGAAAATTCGAGTTGTAAATTGACAAATATTCCCGATAACGCACACCAGAGGCCGCGCAAAGTTCGATCTCCGGGGGCTGCCGATCCGTCGCACATTGCTGGTTTGACTCACAATACGCGCATACCGATGATCCTCTCTTTGCAGAGCGAGTTTGCTGCGAGCGGTTGAGCTTCATTCTACGCTGAAGGGAGGGCAACAGATGTCAGCTGCGGCTGCAGCTTCTGGCTGGTCCGCGGCGCACTCGCCATCCGGGCATCGGGTAACCCGCCGTGACAGTGCCGTGGTGCATGTGGAACAGGCGATCCTTTCTCTGAGGAAGCATCGCGATGTTGTGACTCGTTCCTTGCATGCTCTATGACGAGATATCTGGGCCTGGTGAGAAACAGGTATATTCAATGCCAGCGAACATGGTTCACCAGGGTGCAATTGTCCCGCAAGCCGTTGAACCCAGGTCGACAAGCGATGTCGGCAGATTCGGCGACTTGTCATTGCGACTACCCAGTCGATCTCTGATCCCCAAGGCGCAGTGGGCCATTGTTTTGTTGGGAAGCAATTGATACCGCTCAGCCGTCTTTGTCGTGCAAGAGATGCCGTAGGACGTGGTGGTCGAGCGTTGAGTGAGAGGCAGAGAGTGTGTCATTAGTCAGCCTCGGTCACTCTGCTGCTCGGCTTTCTTTCTTCACATCAGGTCAAGATGGATTATCATCAGCAGAGTCGAAATCGTCAGGTTCAGAGGCTTTGCTTGTGGTCTGGGTCCTGGGCTGAGATAACTATGACCGGCATCTTCAAGCCGCTCTATCATCTCAACCGCCTCCAACCGTACGCACTGTTGTCATTTCCCTCGACTGAAACCAAAGCCTGGAGCGCCTGGTAATTGCTTATCCGCGGGTTTGCAGCATACACAATCGAATGGAAGCGCCCGGAGCTCGTGTTTCGTTTTGGTTGATGTTAATTCTAAAAACTTCTTCCGCTGGACTAGGAGTCGACTAGTTAGCTCAACGACTAAAATGCTCCATCAGAGACAGTGAATCCGAAAACGCGCTATCTAAGCATTATTGCCCTCGAGCAAGCAGGTCACCTCTGCCATGGATACTGGGGATTCATTCCCCACACCAGGACTTTTCTTCTTCCCCGTGGGGATGTTCAATATATGGAGAATCATGCCAGATATCCATCACAATACTCAGGACCAACAAGCCCCCAGGCTAGGTGAACAAGTGCGAAGCCTCGCCTCCAATCCCAGCAAATATCGAGCCCCAAGATACCCACCCCGGGGACATGGCCAAAGTCCATCAAAGTGAGATCGCGAGCAGCCTAGTGAGCATGGCTATTCCCTTTTCCTTGCTCTGATCATGACCGGGACACTCCAGCTTCAATTGGTCCATCATCGTGCCTGGAGATACTGGGCCACCCAGCATCGTTTAGATCCGGGGAACACATTTTGCGGGACATTTTGCGGGGGAGCGAAAGCCATTCCATAGATGCATATGAAGGAGCTTTATAAAGCTTTGGAGTCGTCCAGCCTCAGGATGGCATCTTTCGCAAACCATTGCACCTACCAACGCAAATCTCGAGGTTATCGTCGCGAAAATGGGCGGTTCCGTGCTTGCAAAGTGCCTTGTGTCGCTGGGCTTATTGCTTGGTGCCGCTGCAGGTCACAAAGGCCCAAACCCTCACAAACGGCCGAATATCGTCTTCGTTATCACCGATGATCAGGATCTGCACATGAACACCCTGGAGCATATGCCAAACCTGCAGAAGCATCTCGTCAAGGAAGGCACCTCATACAGCAACCATTTCTGTACCATTGCGCTCTGCTGCCCTTCCAGAGTCAACCTGCTGACCGGAAAGGCTCCACACAATACCAATGTCACCGATGTGGAACCACCATGGGGTATGATCCTTCGCCGTTATGATATCTAGGTGATCCGCAGCTAACTATTGTACAGGAGGATACCCGAAATTCATTTCCCAGGGGTACAATGGGAACTATCTACCTGTATGGATGCAGGAAGCCGGATATAGCACCTATTATGTTGGCAAGTTGATGAACGCCCATACTGTCGTCAACTATAATCAACCTGTGGCGGCGGGTTGGACTGGATCGGACTTCCTATTGGATCCTACTACATACGATTACTGGGGCGCAAAGATGAGTCGTAATGGCGCTGCTCCGGTGAGCTATGCTGGCCAGTACTCATCCGATGTTGTTGCGGAGAAGGTCTTGGGGTTTATGGATGATGCACTCAAGGGAGATAAACCTTTTTTCCTGGTTGCTGCCCCTGTTTCCCCCCACGGTCAGATCAAACCTCCTCCACTCTGGTTCGACAAGCCTGAGTACCCCGAACGACATGCACATCTCTTCAAGGATTACAAAATTCCAAGGACTTCTAACTTTAACCCTGAGACTGTAAGTTGCCTCCATTCGAGTCGCTTTGGCCATACATCTGATGCTGACAATCACGTAGCCGAGTGGAGCCGGCTGGATTGCAGCAATGCCCCGTTTGAACCAAACCCAAATTGATTACCACGATGAGTACCAACGCTGCCGCCTTCGATCCCTACAATCAGTGGATGAGATGGTTGGTGACATGATTGAGAAGCTGAAGCAGCATGATGAGCTGGATAACACCTATTTCATCTACACTACCGACAATGGCTTCCATATCAGCCAATACCGCCTTCCACCCGGCAAGACCTGTGGTTTTGACACTGATATCCGAATTCCAATGGTTGCTCGTGGCCCTGGTGTCGGCAGAAACAAGGTCAACGATGATATCTCCTCTCACACCGATTTCGCGGCTACTTTCTTAGCAATTGCCGGCCAGAAACGCGAGGACTTGGATGGTGTCGCGATCCCTCTTAGCAAGAATCTTGGAAAGCGCCAGAAGACTGAACATACTGCTGTCGAATTCTGGGGAGTGGGCCGCACTGAAGGAATTTACGATCCTTTCTACACCAATGCTTTCAAGGACCAGGATAATAACTACATTAACAATACCTACAAGGCTGTCCGTTTGATTGGAAAGGGCTATAATCTTTATTATTCCGTCTGGTGCTCCAATGAGAAGGAATACTATGACGTTTCGGTAAGCCAACGCTAACAGGCATCCCATTTTCATCAAAATGCTAACTTAGTTGATCCTATGATCCAGGCCGATCCTGGCCAGATCAAGAACCTTGCTACCAGCCCAGCGCTTGCACACAAGCATTCAATCCGCGGACGGCCTTATGACCAGATCGTCAATCGTCTCGATGCTCTCATGATGGTCACCAAGTCCTGCAAGGGTTCCGAATGTGTTGAACCATGGAATACGCTCCACCCCCAGGGCAATGTCAAGGATTTGAAAGATGCTCTTCATCCAAAATACGATGACTTCTACAAGCAGCAGCCCAAGGTCAGCTTCAGCTCCTGCGAGCTCGGCTACATCAAGGAAGTGGAAGGCCCACAGGATGTCAATGCCTACAGAGGACGTCATCCTCATGACAAGAGAGAGCCTGAGTACGGAGGCCACTGGAGCTACTGGGTCTAAGCGTTTGGGGCAGCGCGGGAGGGCTAAGATGCGGCCTCTTATTTTCCTGTACATATAATCACATTGTGCACATACATAGCCATCGTAGCTCCCAACGAGCTATCAAGGAAATCTGTTTGGACTCTAGATTCTTTTCTTCGTTGCGCAACATTTGGAATGTAGAAGTGGTTTGGTTTTTTAGTCATGTTCCTCGCAGCCAGTTTTGTTCCTTGGGCTAATAACAAAATGGTCAACTCCCCGCGTAGAGAGTGACAACTACATAGAACCTTTTCCGATACAACACCGAAAGCCCTGGAAGAAAAGGCCCAAGAACTCAGCCGATTCGCAATGAGCGACGGCTATGCTCAAACTCACCCACATTGCGCACGGCAATAATGGCAGCCACTGAGCACCGGCCTCGAGAGCCCATAGCGTGATTATCAGACGTGACCGAGTAGAGATAATTTCTTTCATGCATCCTATTGTTTTGCAAAGGTAACAAGGCTTCGCCATGTTCTGGCATGTCTAGAGAGAACTCAACAACAAATCCTTGAGGCGCTTAAGGGACATGTCGAAACATTGCTTCCCCAGCTTTAATCAAACATATCCGTCCCATTGTGCTCCTCCGTGCCCTCATCATGACTTCTCTCCTGAGATGGGCCAAAGCCACCTTTCGAAGAGTTCCCTCCCCTCCCCTTTGTTTTCCGACCACTGGTTTCGAAACACTGAGTGGGCCTGAGCTTGATGAGGAACGATTTGAAGGGTTCAAGAAAGGACGATATTATCCTATCAACATTGGGGACGTCTTGAGTTCCAGATACCAGATCATCGGTGAACTGGGATTTGGGGTTACCTCCACCGTATGGCTCGCTCGTGATCTCAAGTAAGTCAGCTCCCTCGATGATCAACTATTGACAGGCTAACGCAACCAGAGGCCATAAATATGTGACGGTCAAGGTGTATACGCGTGATGAAACTAACCAAGCAGAGTTTCGGATTTACAAGTATCTGAGTCAAGGAGATCCGTCGCACCCTGGTTATGCCCATGTGAGAAAGGCCCTAGATGCGTTTATCATTCCTCGCCCCGGAGGTGGCCATCACTGTCTTGTACAGAAGCCCATGTGGGAGAGTTTCAAAGATCTACTCTATCGCAATCCCAGTCATCGATTTACTGAGGACCTACTCAGGGTTGGCCTTATGCAAGTTTTTCTTGCGCTTGACTACCTGCATACCGAATGCAAGCTTGTCCATACAGGTAAGAAGTACTTCAGTTTCTCAAAAGTACGGCCGCTAACCCCAGCCTGTTTAGACATCAAGAGTGATAACATCCTTCAAGAAATAGAGGACACAGCGATCCTTACAAAAGCTGAAATGGAGAATCCTTCACCACGAAAGTTTGTCAACAGGAAACCAGTGTATGTTTCCCGACGGTTTGAATTGCCAAAGACGTTTGGCCAAGTAGTCCTGAGTAATTTCGGTTCAGCTGTATGAGGAGATGAGAGGAGAAACCATGATGTTCAACCCAATGTTTACAGATCTCCAGAGGTGATGCTGAAGGCTGAATGGAGCTACCCAATTAATATATGGAATGTTGGCGTCATGGTATGTTTTTACTCTATATTCTCCCACTTCATCTCGCTCTTTTGAGGCTACTAATGAGTCGGGGAAATCAGGTCTGGGACTTGTTTGAGGGCAAGCACATGTTCCATGGCAATGATCCTGATGGGAAAGGGTATTCCACCCGTGCGCATCTTGCTGAGGTGATTGGCATTCTGGGGCCGCCTCCCTTGGATATGCTTGAGCGTGGACAACGGAGCCTTGAATTTTTTACTGAAGACGGTATGTATTATCTGCCTTTCCCCTAAAGTACCCAGCAGATGTGATCATGTGAGAGGCTCATATAAATCTTTCACAGGACAGTGGAAGCATGACATACCGATACCCCAATCAAGTTTGGAAGCATCGAAGAGTTTCTTAGCGGAAGAAATAAAGAAATGTTTTTATTTTTTATGAGAGGGATGCTTCAATGGCGACCAGAAGATAGAAAGACAGCAAAGGAACTGCTTAAGGATCCATGGCTAAATAGCCAGATAGACTATTCACTGGTAACTATTTAATACATGCCACTGCTAATACGTTCCCATTCCTTTTCGGTTTAGCATTTAAATGTCAATTGTGAGATGTAGCTCTGCATACAGCCATGGTCATCGGACTATAGCAAGCCACCTGCAAATGACAGAATACCTTTAAACATCATCTTGATGCCTTGGAAGCTCATCCTGTGTGGAAAGATCTGAGTGATGCACATATTATTGTTGATTTTCTTCTACTGTGTGGCCTGTTGTTTATTTTACTACCTTCTGTAGTTCGTGAGAGGTACAACCAGATCTGTAGGGGCAGAGTAAAACAAAAATGACATAATATTATATAATTACATTAATGAATTTTTAAGTATGAGTGCCAGCTTTCCACTGATGTTAAAAGAGTCTTCAGATATGTCTTAGATCAAATTGTCTTGATCTTTTCTCGGTTTTTTAATGTGATTGTATATCACTTGCACCATCAGTGTTGTACCAGCCAGCATGAGGAAATATAACGTGACCTAATGTTGCAGAAGAACAAAATGAATAAAGCTTTTGATAATAGATCATGATGGATAGTCATCTATCAACAAACCACGGTCCACCTTGTGATAAAAGCCATCATCAAGAGTGTAAAATTCCAAATCAGGACTAGGCCAGTAGCCTGCAGTAATGTCTGGCAATCAATGCTAGAGCTGTCTGGTGATACTGAATAACAATTTGGGTAATCTTGTGTCAAGAACCCCGGGAGCTCAGGCCAGGGGCTTTCTTATGGGTTCCCAATTAACCCCCAGACCCAACCAGTTCCCCCCTAGATATTACCAGTATGTCCCAGTACAACTGCCCCATGACCTTCTGCCGTCAACCCGCTGACCCTCCCACCGCAAAATGACTACGAAGAGTATGATCGCGTGGGTGTTTAAATTCCTTAAAACCATTTCCGGTGATATTGGGCATATGAGGCCGGCATATTATCGCTTCAGACGATAGAGGCTGTGGCTCGGTTAAATAAAAAGACTCTCATTCCACTGTCGTAGGATATCGGATGAAATGGTATCGATATCTTCTTCCTTAGAATCCAGCTCCACCTTCTTGAACAAAAGATGTCTTTTATTTGGAGCGTCCTTCTCAGCCTGATTGCCCTTTTTAGCGCCGCAGACGCTAGCCTCAACACAACGTCCTCGAATAACCTTGCTCTCTACTGGGGTATGTGTGCGTGCGCTGGCTACATCGCTGCATCCTGGAATAGCGTGTACTAAGAGTACCACGATGTAGGACAAAACTCATACGGCGAAGGCTCTGGTGACCTTGCGCAGAAACCCCTCGGGTACTACTGCGAAAGTAAATAATCCGACTGCAGAAAAGGGCATGGATTTGTTGACCTGCTAATTTGTCAATGCTTCAGATACAAATATTGATGTATGAAATCCAATATGTGAGAAAACAAAGTCCTCCGAAACTTACAGCTCCATTCGAAGGTGTTCCAACTCGCGTTTGTGACCTTGATAAACGGTCCAGGCGGTGCGCCGTCAATAAATTTTGCTAATCAAGGGGATAACTGCACCACTTTTCCCGGCACAGACTTACTAAATTGCCCTAACATTGGGTGAGAGAACCTTTTCGGCCTCTGGTATCAAAACCGACTTGAACTAATCCAAGTCGATTAGAGCGGACATTTCCAAGTGTCAGCGCAAAGGAAAAACCGTTCTCCTGTCAATTGGAGGGGCGACCTATAGCGAAGGCGGATTCAGATCCGAGGAGGCGGCCATCGCGGGCGCCGACATGATCTGGGAAACATTTGGGCCAAAGAAGAACGGGTCTACAAGGCCGCGGCCGTTTGGAGATGCCGCCATTGACGGGTTTGATTTCGACTTTGAAGCGACTGTGCTTAATATGGCCCCCTTCGCTAACCGGCTGCGAAGCCTGATGGCTGCCGATCGTTCGAAGAAATATTATTTAACGGCTACTCCGCAGTGTCCTTATCCAGATTGGTATAATAAAGAGATCCTTGAAGGCAATATCTTCGACGCTGTGTTTATTCAATTTTATAACAATTTCTGCGGTCTAAATGCGTTCCAACCCGGTGAAGAGCAACAGCAAAGCTTCAATCTCAACACGTGGGACAACTGGGCCAGAACGGTATCAAAGAACAAGGGCGTCAAAGTATTTGTGGGCGCTCCAGCGAACCGCAGCGCCGCTGGTTCCGGATATGTTGATACAGCGAGGCTGGCGGAGATTATCGAATACTCCAGGAGCTTCTCCAGCTTCGGCGGTGTCATGTTATGGGATGCGAGCCAGGCATATGCCAATGACAAATTCATTTCAGATGTTAAAGCGGCCCTGAATGCGGCACCTTAGATTGTTGACAAGTCATGATCCAAAAGAGAGGGGTTTCGGCGTAACCGGGTAACTAGGGGAAAGGGTGCGAGTCTAAAAAACAGGGTTTCCGGCGCGCTGGACTGTCAAGTATAGTCTGTCAATCATGAATGTTAGCAGCTAGATGCGTCCAATAGTGCGGCGCAAGTACCTAGGATTCAGTAGTTAGCGATCAAGCCCACCACTCCTCAAGACGAGAGAAGTGTACTCTGCAGCGGAGTCTTGAATCTAAAGATCGGTCTGGTTATGTAATCAATGGAAGAACGCTGACTAATGTCATACGAGTCGCCAAGCCGCCTTTCCCGACTTAGCACTCTGCTCAACGACAAGCCATCTCATAGTTAATCCATCCAGCGCCAGGACAGCGACGGCGAGGTCGACCGCGCCAGAAACGATGGAAAGAAATGCCACTGACATGGCGTCTGACCGCGCCGAAGACAACGCCAGCAACCCTACTCCGTTCCCTGACCCGGCATCTCGCCCTTACCTGCTGCCCACCAGGTGGTGGATTGCGAGCACCGTCATTCCCTTGCTAGCAGTGCGTTCTGACATGCCACTGACCACTCCCCTCCAGTTGTACTGTACAACAGCGCTCCTCAAGCAACGGCGTTACACAAAAGAACGGTGTTCTGACCTGTGACATCCCCCCAGGGAACATTTGGCCCCGTCGCAAACGCCTTTAGTATCTGCGCACTCTCGCAGCATTGGCGGCTAGAGTCGAGAAGCCACGTACCGGTTACCATTAAAGACCCTGCCTGGTTGTCCCCCCCTCCCCTCAGACCCGCACCCCAATGCGCTGTGGGCTGATCTGCTGCCTTGGTGCAATCGCTTTCTGAGGTCACCTCTAACAGGGCTTGCAATGGTGTTCTGCAGGGCAATTGCTCTCAACGCCGTATCCCTAGGTTTTGCCTTAGTCTCCAACTTATCGCTCTTGCTGAACATGGCAAAACGCGTACCTTTCTCCATCGCTCAGCCGATCACGGTTGGTGGCTGGTATATTTCTTCAGTGCTGCTGATATGCTTGACGGCCGTTTTTCCCCGTCGCACTGATATGCACAATCGCCAGGTGACCCAGGCATACTACTACGCGATTATGGCTGCCGCCCTTTACTTTTTCATCTCTTCCCTAATGCTTGTGACGATCTATGGCGCCCAAACTCGGCGTTACAGCCGGGAGTTCAATCTCACTACTAGTCAGCGCTCTCTCATGTTGCAGAGCATCATCTATATGCTGTATCTTCTTCTCGGTGCTTTGGTGTATGCCCATATCGAGGGCTGGGCTTATCTTGATGCGGTTTACTGGGCCGACTTCACAATCCTCACTGATGGAATTGGTAATCTTGCCCCAACAACCCATTTAGGTCGCGGCCTACTTTTCCCGTATGCCGTTGGGGGAATTCTCACACTTGCGCTTCTGATAAAATCTATCAGGTCACTCATGATAGAACGAGGAAAACATAAAATCATTGCAAGAACTACTGAAAAGATTCGAGCTTCAGTGGCTAAGCGCGTTAGATCCGGAACGACTGGGCGCTGGTCTTTGCTTCCATGGGCGCCTCAGAGCCTAGAAGCATCAGAGGACCAGAGGAAAAAAGAAGAATTCTATCTAATGCGCAGAATACACCTTACTGCAGCCTTCTATACCCGGTGGTACTCTCTCCTATCCTCCCTCTTTGCTTGGATGTGCTTATGGTTCCTTGGGGCATTAGCGTTCTTCTTATCACAACGTCAAACCCAGTGGACTTATTTTCAGTCGCTCTATTTTGCATATACCTCACTTTTAACCATAGGCTATGGAGATTTCGCTCCAGGGGCGACTTGGTCGAGACCTTTCTTTGTTCTGTGGTCTCTACTTGCTATTCCAACGACCACAATCCTATTTTCGGCGTTTGGAGACACCCTTGCGCGAATCTTCGACGATACTGCCATTTATATTGGCGAACTAACCATTCTGCCCGGAGAAGTAAACTTGAAGCGCCGTTTCTGGGAGCCTTTCCACCATATTATCCAGAACATTCGCCACCCATTACATCAAATCCTGAGCCAACCCCCCGAAACTCAGGCTAGTCGAGCCACAGCAAGTTATTATGCAAGAAGGCTGGCGGAATTGGAGGAAGATCCAAACAACATTCAACACCGATATCGCCGTCAATATCTGCTCAGTCGCGAGATGCGCAAAGTTCATCCTGAAATAGGACGATCGCCTCCCAAGCGCTACACATATGAAGAATGGCTCTTTTACTTACAGCTTGTCGACCGACTGAAATTCTGCTGTAGTCTCATTAATCTCCCCCCTGAAGAAACTGAAGAGTTTGGTGCTCGCAGAGTCGGCTTGTGGGCGTGTAAACCACAGCTCCTACGCTGGAGCTGGATCGGCATACATACACCCCTGATAGGTGAGAAAGATGAAGCAGAGTGGCTTTTTGATGCTCTGTCATCCTCCCTAGAAATGGAACTAAAGATTCAGTGCGAGGGGCGAGGAAATGACATTCCGGAAAACCACACTATTTCCCGAGTGCAGCGCTGAAGTTGCAAGGTGACGAAATGTACTTTTCTTGATTTTTCACCTTCAGAATTCACTACTTTGGAAGCCAAATTCACATGGAGAATTCTCACTATTCCTTCTGAGACAAGACATCATGAATTCAATTCAAGGCCCTAGCTAATTCACCAGCAGTTTCTTGAACTGAAGCTTGTTCGTTCTCAAACTCTGCGCGTCGCCCTGTTAACCTCCATGCAAGCTTTTCTACTAAATTATTTAGATCATATATGCAACAGCTTTGGAAATCCCTGGTTATATCCCTAGACAAAGGTGGCTATGGTCTCCAATATTTACTTGCTTTGTTGAAAATCTAAACTTCTTTGAAAACTCGGCAGTTCTCGATCGTTTCTTTTTCTCATATCATTTCCTCCATCCTCGTACAAGCCCCTGTTGTATGTTGCAATCAAAATCATGCATTCCTTTTAAAGCTAAAGTCCTAACTTTGTTATAGCCGCGAAACAATGGAAGCCGTGCTTCCAACCTTTGCTGCCCGCCGTTATGCGCATCTGATCCCGAACGCTCAGAGGATGCAACGGTCCCTCCCAGTGCTCGGCCGAGCAGAATCTGAAACAGTGTCAGCGGCTCTAGTGGGCCTTGTTGTGCTCGCCATTGTCATGGTCCTTGGTCTTTTCATTGGTCTGTACTTTATCCGTCGATGTCAGAATCATCGTGGTCATTCCATGAGCACTGCCAAAATTAAGAAAAGTCATGGGACCCGCCCTATGACCTTAAACCGTTACGAAAATCCGGATTTACCTCTTCTACACAGCAGCAACGCTCAAAGACGCCCGAGCGGGCCATTTCCCCCAGAAACTCCAAGGCCAAACCCGTTTAGTCTTCCCTCGGAAGTCGCTCATGATACTATTACCGTACCACCGCCGGTGCCGTCTCCAAGGTTTAACAGGGAGAATCTCGATCTAGATGTGGTGACACTTAGTCAGGAGTCTGCGGATGGCACGGCATATCATTCTTTTGGACTCGATGCAAGGTCTTCCGTGTCGTCAATTGTTGAAAAATATCGACAAATGTCTGAAGGGACGTTCTGTGACTCGGAGAGTAGCACTGAAACAGCGAGACCGCGACGGCAGAAACCGACGGTCTCTTGTCAATACAGGTCTTCCGATGCATCTCAGATGCGGTTCACAAAACCAAACCACAACCATGAACATCTCACTTCCGGGCCACATGCTTATTCGCCAACTGTGAGAGATGATAATAAAAATACCTCGGATTTTAGCCAGTCACGGCCTCTGTACCGTAGCCATCGGGAAGGGTCAGGTTCTCTAGATAGGCCGACTGGATTTTCAAGCCATCCTTCTAGGGGCCAAGCATTCCGTAGCCAAAATTCGGTTCAAATACTACAAGAGCAGGATAAAGGGAAGTCCCCTTTGCACCAAGATCTGGAGGTCCCTCCACTCTTGATCCGAAAGATGCTCTCAGCTCCCGGAGTTAACCCTTCAGAGCAGTTACTACAAGCATCAAGCTCCAGTCTTACCGCTAGTGGGAGGCCTGAAAGGATCGGCGGTTACGGCGGGTTTTCGCAGGCAGAAATTCAAACGGAGCAACGGCTCTCAACGTGGAAAAGCCTTGACCACTTTACCTCTATCCCGAGATCATCACTTGACGAGGATTATTATTCCGGGAGAAGGTATCCACAAGGGCTTCCGACCGCAAGTGCAGATCGCCCGCTCCAGGGTTCTACAACATCGCCCCATCTAAACCCCCATATCAACGCTTCTGAGGGTCAGAATGGAGGCCGCAACGTGATCCGATTCCCGTTACAAACCACCTCCATGGTAAGCGATCAGGTCAGCATGACACCGAAAGGGTTGAACGACATCGCTCCGGGCCAGCAAGTCGAATTCAGGGACCTTCCCAACTCAAGTTATCCGTCAATTCACGATCAAGCGGGCATCCATACGGAGTCTGTCTATTTGGGTCTCGCACCTCCCCGCGAGAGCGCGTCTTTCGAATGGGAGGCGAGGAAAAAACACCCGGGACAGAATGATCCTTGTGAGCATAAAACGCAAAATGCACAAGCAACAATGCTCTCAAGCAACACAGAACGCAGCGATGATTTGTGCTCAGACGGCCGGATCGCTCGATCCCAGTCAAGCGGAGATCCGGGGCACGGGAGTGATACCACCGGGACGAGAAAGAAGCGAAGGAGTCGATTGCATAATCTTGTGAAGAAGATGCTCTATTGACCCTTTTTGATATGGATATGTTGCTATTTTGAATTTCTGATTTGCATCCATTACTGGCACTCACTCCGACGAACATTAGTTACCGACGGGCTATGAAGCATCCAGGTTCAACCCTTCAAACATGTAGCCCCTTGAGAGAGAGAGAGTCTTTGTATTTGCAACCAATTTACGGTTTGCTGACGTCCATCGAAATTTCAAGTGCTGTTTGACTCAGCTCGGGCTATATCAAACTAATTAGTCAACTCATGTCAATACGAAGTCAAGAATGATACTCTTCTCATAGCCCTTGCTTGTTCGCTGCAACCACATCCACAGCAACATCCCCATTGTCGTCCTTCACCGATGGATGTTCTCGCGAGACCGCACAGTCCTTGGAAGGAGACCCCCGCATTAAGTGATCCTGCTAACGAGCAGTTTCCGATATCTGTCCAAGCGGAGACCCGGACAATACCTGGTATCTTGCATTCCAGCTGGAGTCGAATCTTTTCAAATTCCGATGTCGTTCGAGTTAGTAGCATGATCCTTCAGCCCCACCGCTTGATGCTTGAGTTGCAGTAACTAACTACCAGCTAGAGATTCGAGCCGCTGTTGCACCATTCTTCTCTACCTTGAGGATGAACACCAAAGAGGTTGAGGATTCTCACGCGCTGCATTGGAGTCAAGTCGGGAAGTGTTTCCATCAACGACTATATAAGTCGGCTAGATGCACTCGGAAAATGAAGATCTTTCGATCATTCTTATGATTCATACTTCCTTCCCAATATATATTGAGCAATCTCAAATTCGGAAACGCCACCATGCGAGTTTTTCATTTGATCATTGCCGTTGCTACAATGTTCTCTGCTGCAGAGGCTTGCAAATGCTGGACTTCGGGGCGGTAGAAAGGACAATCTTGCGACTAAACGCTGTTGCAAGTTCGAGGTATGGGAAAATGATTGGCGATGATTGCAATGCCCATTCAATGTCGGAGAACCTCTCATCGTTTAGAGACTGCTGCACCGATCTTGGCCGCAAGTCGGATTGCCTCACCTGATATGATGCTGGATAATTGCACGCGTCCCAATCGACGCTGGTATGTAGATTTCTGCTTGAGCCTCACAACGACTAGAAGAGCTATAATCTAACCAGGAGATTGGAAAGCAGTTGGTCGCAAGCATCCCGGCACGAACAAAGCCTTCCGTATTCGGATTTGATTTATTTGTCCTTTGCGACTAGCCTGTGAGTCTGGTGGTAGACGGGATAGGGATCCCAGGGTTGTTTTGGCTGAAAGCTGGTGCCATATCAAAAGCATGGTCAATTGTGTGCAATTAGTTAACCAATTATATATATAAGTTGGCTATTTCTAACATTTCTAAAGTGAAGTCATTTGATTTCAAGTTATGATTCTTCCTTGGTTTACATTCACTGCAGCTCGGGTCAAAGCACAATGGCCAAAAGGAGTTCCCGGAGACACTCAAAACTCGAGCTATGGCAGCACTGTCTCTGGGAGTGTTGGAATTCCTCGTGTGATTCATCCAAGACCCTTGGGTTTCACTGTTATTCAATTGCAACTGGAGATTTGCAATCATCCTCGCATCAACGTTGTACAAACGCCGCACCGCAGGAGGTGGTGCTCCTTGAAGCCATGATATAAAAGTCCTGCAAAGATCCCCCGATGGGAATTCTGCTTTGGATCGCCTTTCTTTACCCCATTTTTCCTTCGTGTCTATTGCCCGAAATGAAGCTCTTTTATCTGATCGCTGCCGTTGCCACGATGCTCTCCGCAGCGGAGGCTTGCAAATGCTATGATAGACGACACGGTGCAGTACATAATGCTTCAACCAGAGCCTGCTGCAAGAAAGCAGGTGGGAGGATGATTGGCAATGATTGCAATGCCCATTCAATGTCGGAAAACCTGACAACTTTCGGACAATGCTGCTATCACAAATATTGGACCTTCACGGACTGCAAGGTAGGTACTCCGTGGTCACCTCGATGAATGGAGACAACTGGAAAAGAGATGATCTGACCAGGCAGTTATTTGGAAAAGCAATAAAGCAGTAGCACCCCGGCCTGAACGATTTGTTGACTTCTTCCTCTAAATCGGGGCGTCCGGAAGTACGGAACAAAACGAGATTTAAAGCTAGGAGATTCCAAGGGCTGTCAGCTAGATCATTTCGCGTGTCTTCGTCTAGTCAACGACATGAAGCAAGCCATTCCGAAAATGCAAAAACACGATACCATGAATCCATCGTCTATTACTTCTTTCGGGCTAGTTTCATCCCCATTCATATCTCATAGAATCATCATATCACACATTACAGTTCATTGTATCTTGGATCATCAAGTCGTCAACCATAGAAAAGGACAAGAGTAAAGAAAAAGTAATATCACAAGGCTGCCACCATATGTACCAACATCGCCCAAACTCCGCATGTATATGCATCAAAGAGGAAGTTATATGGAAAAAGGTCTCCCTCCTGGAGGAGGGGAAACTAACATGTCTCCTCTCTCTGGTCTCCTCAGCCTATCGATTCCCAGGTGCTCTTTTCCATCCAGTCCGTGGTAAATACCAAATGCATAAAGCGCTTGCAACCCCTCCCCCGGCGGCGCTATGATCGCCCGCGTGACCAGGTCCGTCTTGGATTTAGGTTCACGGAATATCTTATCTGAAAGAAGGGGGCTCTGGTATAGGAAGCTAATCACGTCCGCGTAGGTGGAGACGCTATGTGGGAGATATCTTTTCCGACGCGGCCAAAGGGCGAAGAAGGACAAAGCATAGACTGCTACAAATGCGATGAGGGTATAAAACGCGGGTTGGTGTGTTGAGATCCGGATTTCGCTTTCCGCAGCATACCAGCGAGCCATGAACATGCCGCCCGCAAGGACAGGCAAAGTCAAGGAAATCAAACTAACAAGAGAGATATACGCCACTTTGTAATGGCGATTGGTCAGAGCGAGGATGGTGACTTCGAACGGTAGGCAGGAATTGTATTTCAAGAGAAGGCTTGAATCAGCGGAAGTCCCGTCGGGAGAAGACAGTGACGCGAATGGCTGAATGGTGCGGAAATAAACGTCCAGAGGCTGCCAAGCAAGAAAGAGTAGGGTTCCAATGAGGGCAGGAATGAAGCTGTAGAGGAAGTTGGATGGTGAAAAGCCCGAGGGCGACGGGAGAGTCGGGAGCAGGGGAAGGAAACCATTGCGAATAGGTTTCTTAACAAAACTGACGACGATAAAACCGACGAAGAGAACAAGCGCGATCACAATCCAGGCCACAATGAAGGTGTCCTTCAGGAACCAAGGAGCCCACCGAAATCTGACAAAGGGAGAGTGGAGGTTCCTCTCAAAAGAGCTTTTCAAGTTCAGCTGTTGCCGCTCGACATCGACCTCTTCGGAGGCAGTTCCTCTGTCATTGGGTTTTTCCTTCAGGCGATCAGTCTGTTCCGCCAGACGTTTCACTGGTCCATTTGCTTCTCCAAGGGCATAAAATATTTCCGGCTGAGTAGAAGTTTTCCAGTAGCCTAACCGGATTGGCCGTGAAGGGAGACGGTCCCGTACTTTGTCGGCTATTTCCGTTTGATCAAAATCATCTAGGAGATTGGACTTCTGGATCAATGGAATGATATCGGCGAGGCAGACCGGGTCCCATTGCAGCCGGTAAGTCCCGAATTGAACCGAACGAGAACTGCAGCCAAAGCGACAGCAAGCAGCAAGTAAAACGAAACAAGGACCCCAGGCGACAGGGCGGACAGTAGTCCATTCAAATCTACCTTTCCTCGGCAATAATGTACCACTTCGGTACGAAAAGACAGCTCTGGAGCGGGAATAATGATCAAGCTCGTAACCCAAATAATACAAAGGCAAGCGCCCAATCAGTGCTTCCCCGTGTTGAAAATGTGACATATCGGGGAGAAGAAAATTCTGTGGTACCATTGGCAAACCTTGCAGCGCTCGTCGTCGGTTGGTTGTTCGAGAGAGGACGGAGAAGGGGGAGACCCGATATATGGCGGCCTGGACGACGTTGACCCACAAGATGATCGAAACTGCGAGTAGCGGTGGTAAAAACCTGAAAACAAAATATTTTGGCCCGTCAAAGCCGTCATACTCCCACAACCCAAGGTACTTTTGTGACCATGTGCCACAGAAGATTAATGCAGCGACCATACACACGCATAATACGATAAGAGGACCAAGGAGCAACGGGCGAAGTACGAGAGGCACAGCATTGAGCGGAGGGTACCGATATCCGTCCCGCGGGGGGTCTAGTGGAATGAAAAGTTCTATAAGGGCTCGGTTAGGGCTTGATCCGTATATGCTATTGACACTGGTGATTGTTGCTCACCGGGATGATCTTCTCCAACGACTGTTTCCGGCTGTAATTGCTGTTCTTCGTCCTGCTTCCTCACGGGGCTATAGTATCCCAACCCCTCGCCGGGGATGATACGTTCAACGGGATAATCGTCTGTGGCAACAATAGTGCCCTGGCGCCCCTGGCCCCGGAGCTCTTCATCGCGGGTCAATTGGTCGATCGCAAAGCGGATGTATGGGGTGTCATCAAGGATAGCGGAGGGAGTCCCCGTATCCGTTCGGGCGCCAGTTTGCGACGGGTTACGGTGCGAGTTCGACGGTTCCTTAACTTGCCCCGTAGAATCATCGCGTAGCATCGTTTCTGACGGAGAAGCGGGTCTTGACGGAGGGGTCTGGTATCGCACTACGGTGATCTTGCTGCGCTCAGAGCTGACAGTAACATTGGAGAGAGAATAATAGTCGGAGGAGGCCGCAATGGACTGCTGGGACGGAGTATGAACAAGCTGCGGCCTGTTTCCTGGATCCATGGCGAATGAGTGTCAGTACGCAGTCGCTCGTCCTCGTCTTCCAGCATAAGCTAAAGAGAGAAAAATCCAAAACTTACTGTCAACGGTTTTCAAAGTAGCTCTTCCACTGGAGACCATTGCCGGTCGTTCAACGGCAGAAAGTGACAGAAAGGTGGAGTGAATGGAGAAAGGGTGGAAGTTCCCAAGGAACAAGGGAAGACCAAGCTTGAAGAGCCATTATGAATGATTATCGCACGCTGCCACCGCTGCTGTGCGGGTTTGGGTGGTTGGGTTCAGTGAATTGGGTTGTGGTGGGAGGCTGGAACAGTGATGATCCCGCCTGAGGAGCGCATCCCAGCCACCTCGCCGTGGCAGCCGTTGATTCGCAACAAGACGGGGAGTGAAGCTTCGTCCCAGCCTTGCCGAATCACTGAACATTGGATGCCCAGTGCTGCGAGTGAAGCTGATGGCCAGGGCTCGATGGCATTCTGGACGCCTCCATCTGGGGATCCTGGTGGGATGTGCAGAGTAGCGAGGATCCCGCAGCGGCGGTCGAGGCACGACCTGCAGCCGCTGCTACGCCAGGTAACGAATTGCAAATGACAAAAAAATGGAATTTGTACAGCGTTATCGTAACGGGGGAACAGAGCTATGGTTATCCTTTGAGGTTAATCATCCATCGTCCATGAATCACCGCCAGCGAGCACGACCGCGATGCTTTACCGCCGGGTTGGAGACTCCGGCCTCTATGTTTCTGTCATAGGCCTTGGAGAATGGCTCACGTAAGTGCCTTCGTTTGATCTTGACGAGACGCAGCCGTTGACGGAATATAGATTTGGTGGACAAGTGGACGAGGGTCAGTGAGCAAATCTCGTCAAAAGAGCTCCGAGTGATACTCGGGAAGCGTGTTGGAATGACCCATTTTTCTTGTATCCAGAGGGCACGATGCGCTGCATGAAGCAAGCTTACGACCTCGGCGTTAATTTTTTTGACGCTTCGGAGAAGTGAGTCGCATCCAGAGACGCGAAACGCCTGGCTAATGTTGGGGTGAATAGATACTCGACAGGCCAGTTAGAGATTGTCCTGGGCCGTGCAGTCAAAAGATTTCGCTGGAAACGTAGCGAGCTGGTGATCAGCACAAAGGTGCTGTCAAGACACCCAGGTTCAAAAAGCGTTTTACAATCCCTAACCCGAGAGGTTTCGGCAGGTCACGTACGGTGCCGTCGGCGAAGGGCTGGCTATCAACAGCCAAAGCCTCTCGCGAAAGCATATAGTTGAAGCAACCCTGGCGTCTCTCAAGCGCCTGGATCTCGAATACGTTGATATCATCTGTGCGCATCGACCGGACCGACTGACCCCGATGGAAGAGACGGTTCGTGCATTCAACTATCTCATTGAGAAAGGACTCGCATTCTATTGGGGAACATCCATGTGGTCCGCAGACGAAATCACTGAGGCGTGCCGAATCGCAAAGTGTCTTGGGCTTGTTGCGCCTATCGTCGAGCAGCCAGTCTACAACCTGCTTGACCGGCATAGAGTCGAAGGGGAGTATCAGCATATATATGCGAGATGCGGGATCGGCCTTGTAGTGACATCTCCCTTGAAAACTGGCATTTTGACGGGAGGATGTAACTATCCAAACGGCGCGAGGCTCGCGGATCCGCAAGGCGGCGCTAAGATTCTCAACAGCAAAAATGTCTCCCATCTTCACGAGAGCATGGCATATCTCCGGAAGGTCGAGCGCCTACAGGTAGGGGTAACCCAGACTCCTGGCATTCCGGCTTGTGCTGAGAAGAATCCTGCAAACAGCCCGTTCTGGATAGACTTGGAGTCAGGCTATCACACCTGGCACTGGCATGGTGTCTGAAAAATGACGATGTGGCTTCAGTGATTATAGGAGCCTCGCACCCCGAACAGGTGGTTGACAATATCCGAAGCCTGGGAGTGCTGTCCCGGTTAACACCAAGCGTCATGGCTGACCTGGACCTTCTCCTGCGCAACAAACCACAACAGCGCAACTCATCACAGTAGTGGACGCCTTTGATGAGTACGCGGTATGGATTACGGATTCACTGAACTAATAAGAAAGAGAATCACTCGAGATCAACTCAACTTCGCTGTGCTCGACATACAAGATTAGATTACATCATCCGCCGGGTATCTACGGATTAGATATGTTCCGCGTTTCCGTATTATCGTTGATCCGCGCCGCCATGCTGGGCAGCTAATGGCTTATGTAACTAACAATTCAGTATCAAAGATTCAAAGGCCGGTTTGCTTTCATCTTCATTGCTCAATCCATCAACATCTGCTTTTCTCCATGCACATATTCCCCCATGATGTCTCATTACGCGCCTAACCATCGGCCCCCTTACCGTAATGAAGATCAAAACGGTCGCATGTATGACGACCATCCCCCCCGGTCCCGGTCCCGCTCGCCCTCACACTCACCTCCCTCAACTGCAAACCACCGGCCCCGACCTCTAGATCACAAGCGCACTCCTCCAGGCCGCCCCCGCTCTCCTTCGCATGGTAAAAGCTAACTTCACGCACTGGGACCCCAAGTGGACAATCACAACCGTTTCTCTTTGGAGCTTGTGCTGATTTCACTTGTGCCTCTCATCAAAGATATGCCTCGAGACATAGCCCCACGATGGCCTGCCCGTGATAGAAGGCATGGCGCCTATAGCTCACGCCAGGCATTCAGAGACGCGCGCTCTGATTATCGTGGAACAGAGCGTGAGACTTACGCCCCTGCTCCGCCATCACCTAGAGCTCGACGAGGCCACTCGGGCTACCGAGACCGCGACCGTGAGGGCTATCGTTCTCCACAGTACCGCAGCCGGAGCAAGGGCCACAGTCAGAGCCGGAGCCGGAGCCGCAGTCGATCCCGGAGTCGAAGCCGCCGCCGTCGCCCCCCACATTACGGCATAGAAAGTCGAGAGATTATGATGGAGGGCTTGCCGATTGATATGAATGAAGACGACGTTGGCTCATTCCCCCTTCCCTTCTCTGCCCGGCGACATTCATATTCTTTCCCGCTTCTGGATTGACAGTATACTGAGATGTGCGCGTCACCGGACGTTTTCCGGTCGATGCTTTTCAAACCAGATCTCCAATGAACTCATGCAACATTATCATGTCCAAGATCTTGAAGATGTCCGAGTCATCAGAGACCGCCAGACAAGTGAGGTTTCACCCCGCCCGATCTATCCACCAGGAATCGATTGACTAACCCCCCCGGTAGAGGTTTCCCGTCAGCTGGGATTTCTTCGATTTAGATCGCTGGATGCCTCTCGTGACTTTTTAGAACAGAATTTCCCCACTGTTTATTTGTATGGGAATGGGTCCTCTCACACTGATAACCAAACTGCCAAAGTTAGAATTGCATACAGCCGAGAACGAGAGGATCGCAACCGTGTCAGAGCCGAGGGGGAATGGATATGTAAAATTGTACGTTGACGCCTCGCTCATTGGGAGTCCTTTAACTTACTTTTACCCAGTGCACACTAGCCAATTATGCAACTCGTCAAAAATGCTTTCGCTGCCAGGCCGTCCGTACGGGTAAGTCATCGTTCCATGTTCTTGAGGATCTAAGATTCCTGACAATCATAGACTTTACAGAAGTTCCGGCGGCGACTGCGGAATCGGCTCAGCGTGTCATAAACACCGGGGATAATGATGTTTCGCCAGACGGCACCTCTTCTCAGTTCCTACTTTTCCGAGGCCTCGAGCCTAGCGTGACGGAAGAAATATTAGCCAAAGGTATTGCTAAACTTTACAAACCCTCGTCGGGTTCCCAGGCCGCCGCGCCTACCACCAGAAAAGGTGCCAAAGTTGCATCGACAACAGGCGATTCGAACCTGGGGGCCAGAGAAGGCTCCATACGACGCGTGTTACTAGTGAGAGACAGACGGACTAACGAGAGCTGGAGGTACGGTTTCGCCGAGTTTGCAACGGTTGAGGTAAGATGTGTTTGCGCCAATTTTCAGGGGCTTGTATTAACCTCTGGCAGGACGCTCAAGCTGCCTTAACCCGCCATAACTCTTTCGAAACTTTCACCATATCATCAAAACCCGTACTCGCAAGCTATATCCACGCCGGGGTCTTCGTTCCAGTGCTCAATCCCACTGCTAGTACGGAACGCTTCACATTCAGTCCCCTGGGAAATCCTTCGATGAAACTCGCGTATTGGGATGAGGGTGCGTACGTGACCGAATTAAAAGTCTCAAGTCAGGGGTTAGAAGATAAACCCCAGAAAAGGGGCGCTGTTGCATCCAGCAAATCTACAAAGGCTATCAAGGAAAGTGATAAAATCAAAAAGAGAAAAGCAGAAGCTGGGGTTGCTCCGGGCACCAAGAAGCTTGCGGTGCCCTCTCATTTACAGTTCTGGAGTGACAGGCATGCAGAGTTGCACGGAATCCAGCGCAATGATTCTGAAAATGACAATCGAGATAGAGCTGGCGCTACAGAGAATACGAACGATGCCTCCCCTTCAGCTCCACCCCCGTCCACGCAGTCTTACGCCGACTTGGTTCGGAAATGCTGTTATTTGTGCATGCGACAATTCAAGACAGAGGCGGAGGTCAACCGGCACGAAAGACTAAGCCAGCTCCATCGCGATAACCTCCAAAATGAGGATTTGAAAACCAAAGCGATGGCCAAATTGGCAAAAAAGCGAGACGGACAATCGTCGCAACTGGGCCCCGAATACCGCGACCGAGCCAAAGAGAGACGCAAGGTGTTCGGCTCATCCAACAAGCCAAAGGAGCAGAAGCCAGAGCGCGAAGAGGAAGAAGAACAGCCTTCCGTTCCGGCTATGTCAAAGGGGGCATCCCTTCTCGGCAAAATGGGCTGGTCTGCGGGCACTGGACTTGGAGCACAAGGCACGGGAATGACGGCGCCTGTTACCACGGAACTCTACGCTCAAGGTGTCGGGTTAGGCGCACAGGGTTCAAAGGTTGGAGATGCAATACAAGAAGCGGGTCGAAATACTCGGGGAAGATACGACGAATTCTTGGAAAAGACCAAGGATCTTGCCAGGGAGAGGTATGAGAGGATGAACCACGGAGAATAGTAGATGCATCTCATTTTATTCATTGAGGCGATGGAGGCGACTTGTATTAGATGTTGGCATGTGCAATGCCGGGATTTTCAGTGGAATGTCAATGACTTCAATCCTTAGCCAGAAATTGGTTGCTTTTAAAGTTAGCCATGCATCATACTCCAACGACTGTGCAATTGGAAATCCCAAATCCCAAGTCCCGATGCTTTTAGCCATTTTTACATACAAGTCCAGCAGAAAAATGAAATGCTGTAGATAATAATACACGCTAACGAAGAAGAATTGGCCGCTACATTATTTCGGTAGCAGGATCAAAAAATTTGCATAACGTCGCGACGAGGAACACGCTCAAAACAGGGCAGAGGATAGGTGCCGGGGAATTGCTGCAGCGCCTCTGTATTCAGTTGAATGGTATTGCTTGTTGTTCGACTGGCTCACCGCGAGGGCTCGCAAAAGTCTGGTCGAAACATTTCGAGGCATGGCGCCCAGTCGACGAAAGAGCGCGGATATAAGCAGTGGTTGGAGAAAGGCAGGCAACCGGATGACGCCGAACTCAGAGCAGGAAGCTGTTCGGACCAACAGGCGATCGAATCCTATCTCTCCTTTCCTCGTTCATTGAGCCAGGACTTCTCTCGGGACTCATCCCCAGCATTCTTCTCCTTCTCCGCCTTTCTATTGAGGACGGTGACCACCCACTCCTCCAGCTCCTCCTCCACCTCCTTCTCACTCCTTCCCGACCCGTCGACGCCCAAACCGCCGCGCACCTTTCTTCTCAAGTCGTCCATCCCATTGACATCGAAGGCGTACATGGCACCGCCGACCCCAATCATGGCCAAGCTAGCGACGTTGATAGTAGCGATATTGAGTGCCTCCAGGGCCTCCATGGCTCCATTGACAGGCGGTTTGTGATTTGTGGCGCTGGTATAGTATGGTGGGATGGAGGCGAGGCGACGGCGGCTCAGGGAGCGACGGGTGATGAGCGTGGAGAGGACGAAGAAAAGTGAGCCGCCGAGGAGGAGTTTGGTGGAATTGGATATGCGGGAGGAGTGGCTGGGAGGGGGGGCGTCCGATGTTTCCGCCATGTTGACAGTGAGGGATTGAATAGATGAACTGTCCTGGCTTCCGGGCTGGTCTTTCATGGTGAGAATATTGATACTTTGTAGCTGCATAGTTACAGTTATGATCTCTCGATGTGCTTACGTCAGCATCTTGATATCAACTCTCTGCACTCGAGATGGATGATCAGATGGATGCGATTCCTACATGTGCTAAGAAGTTACATATACAGCACTCCATTGCCTCAGCAATCAGGCATCGGTCGTGCCCGGCCGCCTTAATCTCCAAGTCTCGCCTTTGCCATACTCGTCCTCAAATTCCTCAACCAGTTCAAACCCACACTTCTTGAGAACTCGATAGCTACGCTCATTGTTTGCGTGCGTGAAGGCGTACAGCTCATCCTTCAAGTGCTCCCTTGGCGTGACGCCCTCATAGCCTTCCCACCACGCTTGAATCGAGGCTTGCACAGCTTCAGTTGCGTAGCCTTTGCCCCAGACGTCGGGGTGGATGAGGTATCCCACTTCCATTCGGCCGTCCCTCGTGTTGAACCCAATGAGGCCGCAAACACGCGCTGGGTTCGAGATTTCCGACACCGCGAGACTCAGATTGCCATCGTCGTTCCAGCGGCACATCTTTGTCAGAGTTGCGGACATATCTGGGTCTGGTAGTTTGGTGAGACTACTCCGTCCAAGACGTGGCACGTTAGCTTTATCTCCCTCGCGCGCTGATCTGCTCTGCAGCTGCACGCAAAATCAAGGCAGCATGCATGTTTCGCACCTCCAAACCATGACTTCCTGCCGCGATCTCATATCATAGACATCCCCAACATCAGACTCACGCAAAGGCCGTAATATGAGCCTGGGTGTGCGAATCTCGGGGCCTTCTTTGTTGATAAAGCGCACTTCTGTCGACGCGTCTCCCATGGCTAACTTCAGGGGGTATAAAAGTCAAGATGAGTCAAAGAGGTCGTCTCTGGCGTCGAACAGGCGGGGCAGCATGACCACTCTATCAACACGACCAGGCGTCGGCGCTTTGTTATTTATATCAGAATTTCGCACCCCGCTATCCATCCATCTGTTCATTGCACTTGGTCGGCAAACGCGATACCGACTTCCGTTTCAGCTTCACGTGGGGTTGATGCCTAAAAGACGAGACGCCCTTCCGCTGCTAGTCCTCGTATTTCGGAGTTCCAGCGAAGTTGAAGTCCAGGGAAAAGGTTTGTCCGCGTGAGCTCCGAAAAGGTCCCAACTGCTATTATCACAGCCCATGTCAGCAACGAGGAGAACAGATCACAGCCCGATATATTTGACTCACCCTGCTTTGAATGTTCCTATGTGCTATACCTGCCTCTACAAAGGCATACTGCTCAAATGTTCCAGCTTTAGTCCACGCTTCTGATTCACCGTTGACTATGATATCAGAAAGTCTCCGGGGGAATCCAGAGCGCCTGTGTGTTCCTCAGCACATATGTGACATCAGATCAAGTGCAAAGTTGGTAGAGGCTGTCTGATCACGCAGTGGTCCGACATGAACTGTGCAACTACTAAGGTGCTGTAAGAGGTCCAGAACGGTGACGACTGATAAACACATTGTGAGAAGCTGTGCTACCTTTCCGCTCACAAGAGTTGAGGCCACCACCTCATGATTACTACTGTGGTGGTTATGCCAACTATTTAACTCCAACCTTGCCAGTTCCCATATGCTGATATAGAGAAGCAGCCGATTTTGGTTGATCCCAGGTACAAGTAGGTTTTGTGCTACCTGTCACTGAATATTGCATGTAAATGAGCTTATGCAAAACTGAGCATCATTTGCATACCAAGAATTATAAGAAGACGTTTATACATCAAACTTCTACATTAGTACAGCAACAAGAAGATGGTCAAGCTTAATAGCCGACATGCACTTGACCAAAATATGCCATAAAAATGTCACCTAAGCCCGCACTATACAGGAAATGGGACGAGAAGAACTCGCTACCTCAACGAAAAGTGCAATCAACCCCGACAGTGTCACTGTCTTAGCTCGGCAGTTAGCGGAAGTTGATAAAAGCCATGATGCCGAGCGAAGCAGATGGCTCTGCATTTGAACACAGAATATTTCACTTCTCATCCACAGCTTATCCGCGCAGTAACCGGGATTCGGTATTTCGAGGGTGAGATACATGCATGCTTTGAACAGCTGCCTCGGTGGTTGAATTCGCAACATTCGTGGCATCAAAAAGTACTCCGTATCTCGCGACGCATTTCAAGAATTCATCACAGCAGTGAAAGGTCATGACCGAGAAAAGACGACATGGACCCTGGTATCAACGAACATGGATCGTCCTGGACAAAACTCACGGTATGATCCTTCTTGGGAAGCGGCAAAAGATCCCGGACTCGATGAATCACCTCAAGGTTTTCAATAACAATCATGCTGTGCAACAAAGTCTTTTCATCTCTGGGAATTTTTAGCGCGCTTCGTCTCAATCTGGGAGTCGGGTAGGCAGCCGTTATGAACTCTTCATCGGCTCCTCCGAAATAAAAAGCATAGTTAAACTTACATGAACTATCGCCAGAAACACGGATTCCAAATTGTCATCTTTATCCAGAGTTCTTGAATGCTGCCACTTCGCACCTGAGCCAGACACGAAAAAAGAAACAAGAGCAAAAAGAAAAGTCGCCTAAGTTGACAGTTGGCTGCAACACTGGCAGAAAAATGATTCGCTGGAGAATGTCTGAATTGTCTCAATTCCTGTTGCGATTCCGCTTGTCTGAGCGCACGATACGAGATTGACTAAGACCGGATCTTGACTTCCAGAACATTGACGACACTGCATCCAAGGCTTATTGTGTCGATCGTCCATGTTGATCAGGGCCGCTCACAGGCTCACAGGAGCTCGATTAAGCACCATCCGACACACACAGGTTAGCCAGCTGCAACCCGATTCTTTCCTGGCGATGTTACTGCAGGTAGTTATACGAGCCCAATGCTTGTTCTTCGCACGCAATATAAGCGAGACGGCCCTGACCTGACGCTATTCTTTGAGACACCGAAAGAAGATTCTGGAGTTCGAACAGCTATTACCATATTCAGCATTGCTTCCTGGCAAAGTCACATGGCGTTGAGTACCATGAAAAGACCGGTCCTGTGGTCTTTCTTCCGTTGGTTCCCCTGCAAGTCACCGAGAGTGTGTCACCGCTGCATGGAATATCGGGACGTGAACTCCACTGGCATCATGGGTGTATCAGTGAGGGCAGCCTGATTGGGCTAAATCCGGAATAAGAAAGGCAGGCGGAGGGTGTCCAATAAAAATCTGCAAGTAATTATCCGAGCTAAAATTCATATCCATAAATACAGGAGCAAATGTTTGCCAGGTCCATTTTTCCAGTGTGACCGTTAAACCCAAGGAAATTGTACTAGTAGTTATACTGAAGAGCTAAGCAAAGGGATAAACGGGATGAGCAGAGGCAGGGTAGGGAATGGGGGAAACAAAGACACAATAATTAACCCAGGCTTCTCCCCCCGACTATGTAAATGCTGCAGGGTGTCCAAACCGTATGTAAATGCAAAAAATGCGCTTTTTCTGAATCTAAAAACGCTCTCAAAAGGGGGAATTGGGAATCATTAATAATAAAGGGAGAATGCCCAAACGAACAAATCCTATGCCGGAAAGAGGAGCAAGGAGTCGTAAAATCATTGTTTGAAGCTGAAAGTAATTACTTTCAACCAATTAGTACGTGAGCCTGGCCAGCAAGCGTAGAATGCCTTGGAAATTGACATGGCGGGATGGCGGCTATTTATCGTTGGTGGCAGTTACAGAAGCCTGATCTGCCGCGAAGACAGCGTAGTGGCGTTGGTGCTGAGACGGTCCATGTACTTCCAAAGTGGTGCGTCCTGGTACCTTCTGCGTTAGTAACGCCTATTATTGGGAGGGCAGGGTATAGGAATCCCTACCTGCACGGTTTCCCTCGAGCCCTGCTTCCTGTCGGTGCTTTCCGTCTCAGCCTTGGAATGCCGTGAGAAGGAGCCGAATAACGAGGTGTGAGTAGATGCCGTAGGTAAATTGCTAGGTCTAGAGCCCGACATGGTCAAACGAAGGATTCCTGGAGGAGAAACCCGCGAAGGTCGCGTTTTTGTCATGGCTGGGGATGAAGCGGTTTGGGTGGCTGCTGGAGGTTCAATCGAGCCGATTCCACATGCTTGCCGTGCCAATTTCGAAAGTTCGACCTGATAGTTCATGGAACCGTTGTCCTCCTTGAATTCTTTGCCGTTGGCAACATAACAAACGCAAAAGGACATGGTCTTGTCTTTCAGTGCGTGCTGATCCTCGAGGCTAATCGTAAAACCGAATGTGTCGAAGCCATTGTGACGATGGTTCCCAGAATATTCTGCTGCTGTTTCCGACACCGTCTTCCATCCATCAAGGGTAAACCGCACCTTGACACGTTGTGCAAAGGAGAAGTTCGTTACGGCCAGAGTGCCGGTTACACTCTTCTGGTTCGAGAGGTAGAGCTGCTCGACTCGCACCGGCGCATCGGCGGCTCGGTCTGCGGACTGGGAAATCATATCCAACACACAGGTCGAGTCATGCAACAGCGCAGGCGACTCCTTGTTGAGAGTTTTGAGAGGGTTATAGTCGCCATGAGTCCGTTTCACGGCTGATATCCGAGCAGCTATTAAACAGGGTTCGTCATCTTTCATGAAGTAGCACACCGATTCAAGGTGAGCTTCGAAATGAACGGATTTTGTAGGTTTCGATCTATTCCTTTGGCTTCCCCCAAGGGGCGCGATGGCGGATCTGATGAGCTTCGCAGACATTTTCTGGACGGATCGTGAGAGCATCTTCGCCCCCGCCGCAGCGAGATCATCTTCCCTGTAGCTTGGTAGCGAAAAGGCTCTGGCAGCAGTCATGATGACGTTGTTCCATACTTGGGGGGGGTTATAGCAGGGCGTAAGGGACGGGTGTGATGCTGCCGATGGGAGCACAATGGGTGGGGAGGAGCAGCTTAAAAGACGAGAGAACGGAGGAACGAAGCGGTTCACTAGTTAACTACCTAGCAGGCTCGCGCGACGCAGATCAGGGTCACCATGTGGCCATTGGCAGGAGATGTTTGGGCCATTGGATCAAGGCTCTGAGCTCCAGGAATATGTTGACTCCTCACCAGGGAGCGTGTAACTGCTTTAACTAGTTCTCGTCGAGCCAGTGGAAGGCGGAACGTCTTTTCACGATACGATGCAGGAGCCCATTGCAGGGGAAGCAAACAATCCTTGACTTCCAAGCGAGGCTGAACCCCAAGCCGGCACCAATCGGCGAGCAGTCGAGACGAGAGAGTCTGGAACCATTGCCTGATGCTGGCCATGTAACCCATGCATCCGAACAGATTTTGATCTCACGCTTGACGGCAAAAAAGCAATGACCCATAGCCAAGTGCCTGTATGGATGGAACCAGGAGCTGGGGGCCGAAAAACCTCTCCCAGAACACGGGAACATCCAAGAATAGGATCCAATTCCTGGCCAAGTTGCTGTCGCCCGCAGTATCCCGAAGCACTCTGGCGCTGCGGATCTGACGCCACCTGGCTGAAAGCCAAGCAGCCTGAGGGACGGCTGTTTTGCGACTGGGATCAGACGAGCGGGAATTCTCCTAAGATCATGGCATCTTTCCTTTCGCTTCTAGGGTCGATCGGTTTCGGCTGCAGCCGTTGAGCAACGTCAGAGGCGCTCGTTAAGCCCAGTTCTCGAACTCGGAAGAGCGATACGAAGTTTGCCTTCATTCTTCCCGCCTGCTGGCTCTCGAAGTCGATGAGCACATCCAAATATCCGTAAATCCATGCAGCGTCGGGCGAGCAGCAAGTTCTTCGGTTCGTATAGGGCCATAATGATACAACTCTGCTCCAGATTAGTCTGCGCAACTATAGGTAACATCATGTTCTTAGCAAAGCTCGCCCATTGTCGCACTCATCTCTCTCTAAATCGCATAGGGGATCGAGATTACTCTGGGAGCTTTCACTCAAGGAATCCGGACGTCAATGTAACAAATGTGGTCAATGCCATCTCGAATGCTCACTGATGAGCCGATATCTTCATATTGCATTCGAACGCTCCTCGATAGTGCGCGCAGGACCAACTAAAGTAGAGAACGAATTTGCAATAGGCTCAACGCCCATGGTCATCGCAGACTCGGAGGTCTGGTGGCGGGAGAATTGAAGGGTCAAAAGACCCAAACCTCATCGAAGGAACAGCCCATCCAGTATTCCACCACGCACCATCACAGCCCGCTATTCTTCTAGTTAACTAGTTAATTGCTGAAGGAACAGCGCAAAATGCCGCCGAGTTCCATAGACACCACAGTCTCCGGTGACATCCACCATTCCGCCCCTCCATCGCCTTCCACCGCCATGAGCTCACCCACCCACTCCGCACCACCTCCTGAATACCAGACGACGAGCTTAGACGATGTTTTCGGCTCTTCTCCTACCTACACCACAGGTTTCCCTGCTGATTCCTCCCACGGCGCATCTTTTTCGGTCGCAGAACCCTCCGATCTCCCCTCTCTACGCCGACAGCATGTCACTGCGGGGTATCGTGACGGGGTGTCGGCCGCAAAGCACGAACACGTCCAGCGAGGCTTTGATGCCGGCTTTCCGGTTGGTGGGCGGCTGGGGATGAGAGTCGGTGTGGTTCTGGGTGTTTTAGAGGGATTGATCAACTGCTCTAATAGAGAGACTGCAATTACAAACGGCGATGGTGGAAGCTCAACGGATATTCGGAGCCTGTACGATCTCGCAAGAGCAGAACTGGACGTCCAGAAGGTTTTCGGGAGTCTGATTAATACAGATGATGAATCGGAGCAGCGGCAAGACCCTTGCGTGGCGCTGGAGAAGGCAGGGGAGGAAACGGTCTCCAAATGGGAGGAGACTGTGATGAAATTGATCCCGAACCAGAGCTGAAGTGTTCACCAAAGTTTACGTCCATCTACCTGCCGTTTCCACCCCTTGTGGTAAACGAGCAGTCTTCCAAGAGTCCACGGACTACTTGCTACCAGAGCCTGGGGCCTTGGATCCAGAAAGCGAGGGAAGACTCGCTTCCTGTAGGGGCTGAATGAGTCCGACATATGATGCTCCCACTGGGTACGTGTATTTCCAGTCAAGGGCTCTTCAACCCGACATTACTCAACGGCTGCCTCTTGATGGTTCGCTTGACAAAATGTTACAAGAGACGTTGCATATGCTAATTTCGAATCACCAGGCCATCGGGACTGCAGCGTGCATAGGTCAATCCGTATTTCCCACCATGGCATATTGCTGATTGTCAGTATAGTAGTCACTGGGAGTTAGGGTCAGTCGGAGGTTCAAGCCAATCCACTACCCAATGCTACATGCAGTAGAGGTAATATGCTTAGCCTCAGGTTAGAACTGGGGGGTTGCAAATATAACAGTCTTTGATATAGTTTTAGCTGAACCCCCAATGCCCTTTTCTTACCAGTGACAAAAGGCATTGTACATGCATTTCATCATGAGATAAACCCCCAGTACACTATCATATCGTGTAAGTTGGTACGGTAGACATGATGGCTTCAGAGGATATCAAACAGCACTCACAGACATTCCTTTATCCCCAGAGTATAGAGCTCTGTGACATGGTACATTCCCAAAGCTCTATGGTATCGAAACAGGCCATAACAGCCGAGCACCTGATAGGAACATGTCCATCCTTCCGGAACATCTTTAGCTCTAGTATCCACGCAGACGTTTGTTTAGCCATCACGTAGCGGAACCAGTGACCACACATCTCTCCCTTTCAATCCTTCACGCCTGCGTCAGTGACAGCTTGTTCAACGCTTTTCTGAAAGGAGGCCACAAGCCCCAAGCAGGATTGGTTGATTCCAAAGGCCCAGTCAGCCAGAATGGCTGTGTGGAGTGATGGGATTTTTGATCCTGCTATTATCGTGAACGTTTTGTTTCAATCGCAACAAGAAACAAAGCTGGCCGCAGGAGCTCTGCGCCTGTCCGTTGTTTGTTTGCGCACACATGAAAAGCCAGCAAGGGAAAAAAGAACAAGGTTAAGCATAATCCGAAAGTCTGGAAACGTTTGGAAACGAGGTTCGAGGCACAGTCCGGGGCAAAGGACGAGTCAAAGAACCCCCCGATCGCGATGGCGGCTTTGTGCGATGCCTGAAAACGAAGATGTCTGCGTGTTGGTCCGGCATTGGTGGATCCCAGCGTCTTTCAGCTGTCGATGGCCAGCAATCACCAACTAATAAATACTCGGACGCTTGAGTCGACAGGGGAGCGGCTTGACGTCAATCGCCCGAGTCTGCTTGCCCAACCGACGGCCAGGTCCCCGTCGTGCGCCTTTGCTCGAATCACCGTTCTGCAGCGAGTTTGTCTGGTGAATGGGTTCATGGGGAAAGACGGCGGCCTGACAGGAATGTGGACTTGCGGGACTTCTCCGGGTCGGCAGCTGGGCAACGAGCCGTTTGGAAGAGAATCTCCGTCGTCCTCAGTCAAGCTGTGCTGAGCTGGCGATAGTGCCCGTTGAGCACGAGGCGGTTGCTATGAAACAGTGCCATCACCAGCACAAATAAGGATTGCAGCTGCAGCGTGTGAGGAGGCCCGAGAATCGCAAGGTTGAAACGGGGAGAAAGCGCCCATTGCCTGCTGGAGGATAGAATCGAGGAGATACGATCAGGAGGAAAAAGAAACGAAGACAGGCGTCAACCGAACGTGGTTCTCGCACAAGAGAGAAGATCGCGAGAGACAGAGCCAGACCGTTGCGGTTGTTGTTTCTGCTCTTCTGTCGTCTTTCTTCCAGTCTTCTCGTTCTCGCCAACTCGGTCTCTCCTCCACCCATTTGACCAGCCACCCGACTTCGAAGTCTCCGCGCCAATTCCTCCCGGGTTGCTTTTTCCTTCTCTCTCTCTATCTCTCCCGCCTTGTGCTCCGTAATACCTGATCCTTATCTTTATCAACATCAGTGCGACTTGTTGCGTGCTGTCCGATGCTTTCGTTAAGTTACGTCAGTTCTAACTAGCTGTGAGCCTCTATCATGCTGTTTGCGCCCTCGTTTCTCTGTTGACTTTGAACAGCCATTGCAATCCGCCAGCCATTTCGTCTGCCTGTTAGACCATCCTGAGACACTCGCTTCCTCCTCTTTATTCTCACCGTGACTTTACTTCCTCGATCTTCCGCGCCTGCAACACTCACGGTGTCGCGACCACGCTCCAAGCGGCTTGACGAGCTCCACGACCTTGACGACCCAGCAACGATTACGACCCCTCGCTTTTCACGGCAACGCCAGCAGCACCAGAGACAATCTTCACTCCCTAACCCTCGTCTTGAACCTTCCCGGCCCCCGTCCTCTGCGTCCGTTATATCACCGGACCCTGAAAGTGCTGGGACTGCACTACGAAGGCGTCTACGGCTGAGAACACGCTCAATTGCTACGGATTCGCAGCCAGCCGACACGCATACTGCCACTGCCCCTGCCGCTGTGAGATTTGATGAGCCCCTTCACCGTGCGCAACACTATTTTCATCCTTCCCTGAATCGCTTCCCCATCCCGCCTCGAACAGAAGGAGAGAGATCCACCGTCCCAGCTTCAGTCCATCCTGTGAGTGAATCTTTCTGGCCAGCACGAAGTAATCGCGTCTCTTCTCGAACTGCGTCCGCAATCCTTTGGGTGCTCGAGGAGGCCTTGCGCAAACCATACCAATTCACTCCCATTCAGGGCGAAATCGACGCTTCGATGTCAGAACTTATGGCAGAAGGCGGAGTATCGGCTACAACGGCTGGTAACGGGCGATCTCATTACAATGGAGTCCATAGAACCGCACAAGGGCCTGCTCCCCCGCAGTCGAACCCCGCTCAGAGTGGCCTACGAACTCCCATTGAGATTATGCGGCGAAGAAATGACCGTGAAGCAAGAAAGAAGGCAGAGCAGGAAGCACGAGAGCGGGAGCAACAGGAGATAGAAACAATCAAGCATCAACAAGACATGGAACAGCAAAAGCTAGAACGGCTCGCACATGAAGAACGCCGGAAACAAGCTGCTGGCGTTGCCGGAGAGGCTCCGCCTTCGACTACCAGGCGACCAGACATGGGAATGGCCTCTCGTCCGCCTGATGTGCCCCTTCCTCAGGACCCCGGCACTGCAGATATTCCTCCCGCTGTTCATCCGAGCTCTGGAACCCACCCTAACCCTCGACGCGCAGGCGAGGCAGCAACCCAGGAATCCTCTGCTAGAGCACGCACTTCCATGGGTGCAACACACCAATCAAGACACTCACAATCTAGAGCTCCAGAGACTGCTGCTCAAGCTGCCATACAAAGCGGCTTTCCTAACACCCAAGCTTCAAAGACCCAAGCTAGCTCCTCCCAAGCCGCGCAACCACAAGCTCGCAAACCCTTCCCGCATGCATTCGAGCGATGGGAAATGCTGTCTTCGCATTGGGAGGGTCTGACAAGCTACTGGATTCGTCGTTTGGAACAGAATAACGAAGATCTGAACAAAGACCCGCTCAACCAGCAGATGTCCCGCCAGATCACCGACCTCTCTGCCGCCGGAGCTAATTTATTCCATGCTGTAGTGGAGCTTCAACGATTGCGAGCTTCGTCAGAAAGGAAATTCCAACGCTGGTTCTTCGATACACGCGCCGAACAGGAGAGATCCCAAGAATTGCAGGCAGAATTACGACGATTGCTAGAAGCGGAGCGTCAAGGCCGAGAAGAAGCGGTCGCAACAGCGAAACAAGCGGGAGTCGATAAGGCCAAAGCTGAAGAGCTCGTTAGAGAAATGCGTCGCGAGTTGCAGATTTCGAGGGACGAAGCTCGTCGAGCTTGGGAAGAACTGGGACGCCGCGAGCAAGAGGAGCGCGAGCGTACTGCGTCGCTCCGGAACGGCGAGCCCACAGTTGTTGGTGGCGTGCAAGTCGTTCCTATGATTCAAGCTTACCCGAGCAGACAGGTCAGCACCCATCGGCCGCAAACTAGGGAAGGCCCGTATCCAGGCGGTCCAGGACCGACTTCTATGGGCGGCCAAACCCCCGGCGAACCAATCGACCAAACCGACCAGTATTCTTATGACAGCCAAGTTTCAACCCCGAAAGCAGTGGAGCAATTCCCAGACACCAGCAGAGATCGCCCTGGCCTTCATCATGAACCCGATGTTGCGCAGTTCGGAACCCCCCGTGCTCCCACTGCTACGACCACTACAGGTGCTCCGAGTTCCAAACCCACTACCACCCAGGCGCCCACCAGAGGATTTTACCAACACGAGAGCTCTGCTCTTCATGGCCAGCCTCCATCAAGTTCTGCGGCCGATGAACGCTCATATGTGCCCTCCAGCGAGGCTGGAGCAAGCGAAGTCTCTGAAGATTACGAACCTAGAATCACCAACCATCCCGATTTCCCCGGTCGCCAGCTTTCCTACCCCCGCACTGTTTCCGAAGATAGCGACGATTATGAGAACCAGGACTTACTGGAGCAAGAGGCCCGTTACCGCCAACAGTACCCCGCCAACACGACAGCAGGGGAGAGCGGATATCAGCCTGCGCCCGTAGATTACAGCGGATCAGGCTGGGGACCAACTTGGGAATCTGTGACGCCGAGACATCGACACCCGACAAGATTGAGCGATGTCATCGAAGAAGATGAACGCAGCCGAACTAGCCCAAGCCGTGCGAGCCAGGCAAGTCGCGGGCTGCCTTGAACTTTCAATTCACCAAAGACGCATTAGGATAACCATCCATTTTTCATTGCCAGTATGCTGCGGCGGTACCACTTTCTAACAGCGATTCTTACCTACTCTTTTGCGACATAGAGCTTTGCATGGTGGATTTGCAATCCCTCTTGCTGGCTTTGCGCTGATTATTCGACCTTTCTTGTTGTTGGTGTGGCGGATATGTGCTTGCTTGTGTTTGTCTTTTCCCCTTTCTTCCCTTCACGTATTCCAACCGCATTCCCCCAGAAACCCCCCCAGATGCCGGTTGACGTTCATTTGATTCTTCTTCCTGTCCTTGCCTTTCTTCGCCTACGGCCGTTCTTTGGTACTTTTGGGGGCGCAGGCACGATAGAATGCAAGTCAGTCAGTTTTCATTATCGACCAAAAGTTTAGGAGTAAGGTTGTCTCCTTTCCAATTTGATTTCTTTTTTTTTCATTTGATTCTTTTTCAGATCCCTTGCCTTGTTCCATTCTGTGAAGATATGTGTTATCTCCCTTTCATCACTTTGTAATACATAGCAGTTAATTAGCCCGTTACTTGAGCCTCTGGCGAGAATAATAATCCCATTTGTTACCTAGTTTATGGATTCTACGATGCTGGTAAATTTGTTTTTCAGGTCCGATATGGCTACGTTTGCCCGTGCTGGCCCCTTAACTAGTTAGGTTAGTTAACTTAGCTGCAGGATTTTTGGCAACTAAAGGGAGTAGAGCACTGTTGTGTACGGATATCTCCAATAACTAAGCCAGCATCAAAAGGGCATCCAACCTCCGCCATCTTCAGGGCTTTGACAGGCCATTCGCTTTCGCTGTTCTGGGCCAAGACCTGCATGGCTGCCTAAATCCCGTCGCTGCGATTAAAAGGCCAAACATCAACCTCAACATGATGTTTGAATATCTCCATGCCAGAGGGTGATATGCATCTCGCAAGATATAAATCTATACAAATATATAGCAAATAGCCATCGTCTGCCGCTTGCCAACTGTCAAGATGGCGAGAGCATTCCCTCGCTCTGCCACCTTGCTCACGCAGCTTGCGTCGAGTACCAACCAAGAGAAGCCCGATGGATCAGCTCAAGACTATACCGATCAGGGCTTTGCCATCATCATAAATGCCGTTGAACACCAATTCAAGATGCAGCGGGATTATATGGATGGCCGGTTTGGCGAAATGGATGCTCGCCTCGATGGTATCGATGCTACAGTAGAACAGCTCCGCGCAATGATGGCCAACGGGAAAGCAGATCGAGCCGTCAAGATCCTCCTGCCGGTGGGTGCATATCAAACCGACGGTAGGTATGCAACTCCAGACAACTTTCCCAGGACTGTCGCAGACTTTTGGAAGCTGAAAAATGATCCGAAGGGTAAGTCCATGACCAAAATTCAGAGATCCTAAATACTAAGACTCTATAGCGGCCCAGCTGGTGTCATTGTGCCAATTCTACAACGTCAAGCGCGAAGAACTCATTGACCCAGATGTCGAGGATAGCAGTACCGAAGAGGGAGTCCCATATGCGTCTTTGAGTCTTAAGCAACTCGTCCGAAGGTTTCCAATCATGGCACATATGGCACTCGCAGATCGGATTGGCCTCAAATATAGCAAGGTTTCCGCGTTCATGCAGAAGCTGGGTACTTATATGCACACGACGACAACGAAGCGACCCCAGCCCAAAGAAACTGCAGAAGGCGCTAAGAAACTGGCTCGAACCGAGAGTGCAGCTCCAGCGCCAACAACGCCGGAAAACCCAAAACCCCCGAGCCCTCAGGGAGCCTACCAAAGGTTTTCCAAGGACGAGGTTGTGCCCCTAGAGTACCTTGTGAAAACAACACCTTCAACGGTCGAGTCCGAGTTGCCTTCGAATAGGACACAGCTGGGATGGGCCGAGACTAGTGTACGCCGAATGGTGGACGAGCGCGTGGAGCGGGAAAGGGAGCAACTGCAGCGAGAAGAGGCAGAGGCAGAGGCAAAAGCTGAGGCTGAAGCTGCCGCTGCTCCGCCGCGTTTTCCGCGTGTGCCCGCGCCCCCCGTCTCGGATTCTACGACCAGCCCGCCGCGCTCCGGCGATACAGAGCCTCTCAGCTCTCCGTTGCGATTACTGGGTCAGTCACAGGTACCCTCCCGGCCGAAGCCCAGCAGGACGTCGGACAGCGGGAAGAGGTCCGCAAGGAAATGATACCCCGTCTTTTGGCGTAAGCGAATGGATACAAGTCTGGCTGGGATATTGGCGTTTGGCTAGAGCGTTTATTTTAATGATATTGGTATCCATTGTAGAAATTGAACTTATTGCACTCTATATTGTTCCCGCATAGCCCTGGTCCAGCAAGGGGGCCATGCCAGGAATGCTTACTCACCCCATCAGGTGACGGCTGCCAAGCAACTGCATTTTGCCAGCAAAAGAAACAATTCGATGCCTGCTTGCCGTCTTGAATCGCTGCGAGAAGGAAACTAATATCACCAAGCACAATGGCATCTTCCACCATGCCCCTATCCATCTCCCATTCTCTCCGGCAGGCGTTTCGTCTCTCCCGGTCCGCTCCCGCGGCATCGCTGGCCTGCCAGGCAAATCTTCGGGCGTCCACGGCATCGAGGACGCGCTCACAACTACTCCGAGCGAGTCCAATCCTGCGCGCGGGCACGGTGCGCACCTTTTCCACCACCCCCGCGCCCGCCGCAAAGACGATCCAACAACTCAAGGCGCGCTCGTCCACGGGACCTTTTTCGTGGAAGGCCGCGCTGCTCTTTGTGCTCACGGGCGCGGGGATGATCGTGTACTTCCAGTATGAAAAGGCTCGGTTGGAGCGGGAGCGCATTGTGCAGATGAGCAAAGGGGTGGGGAAGCCAAAAGTCGGCGGGCCGTTTGTGCTAAAGGATCTGGACGGCAAGGAGTTCACTGACGAGCGGTTGAAGGGGAAATATAATTTTGTGAGTACGCAGTAACCACTTATCTGTGGGAGATGGTTTGTTTCTGACTGTGGTTGGGATGGAATAGATATACTTTGGATTTACTAATTGCCCCGATATCTGCCCGGATGAGTTGGACAAGATGGCGGAGATCATCGATAAGGTGAACGCAAAGTCCAAGGGCGCACTCCGTCCGATCTTTGTCACATGCGACCCAGCTAGAGACACGCCAGAGGTCCTGCGGGAGTATCTCAAAGAGTTCCACGAGGGCATCCTGGGGCTGACGGGGACGTACGGGCAAGTAAAGAACATGTGCAAGCAGTACCGAGTCTATTTCAGCACGCCGGAAAACATCAAGCCGGGCGAGGATTATCTGGTGGATCACAGTATCTACTTTTACCTAATGGGTAGGTTGAGCGTGTTCAGACCCTCTTTGACGAGGCTAGCTAATGGCATTTGTTTAGACCCTGAAGGCGACTTTGTCGAGTGCATAGGCCGCCAGGATTCGCCGGAAGGTGCCGCGAATATCATCCTGGACCACATCAAGGATTGGAAGAGACAAGGCAAGGAGTTGGACACCACCGGGCCGTGAGCCTGACGCAGCCATGTCCGTGCTGTGCTTCCTTTTGATTCTCCGCTCCAGAGCTCCTTTCCCACTCATCATTCATCGTGCATTGGGGCTGTACATAAAACGGGCGTTTGGGGGGATATTCTCTGTTTGGGATTGGCGATATAGCTATATGTTTTTGTACAATAGAAACGTGCGTTAATTGGTAGACGAAATGGAGCTCTTCTCGACCCTTTTACCCACGCGTTTAGCTTGTATTTGCTCCCCGATTTCTGTAACATACCACTCTACAGCACGTTCTCCCCCGACGCATCCGTATCCCTGTTCGCCCGCCACTCGCCCACCCCCGGGGGCTGACCCACAAACTCCTCCCGCTTCCAGATCTCGACTCGCCGCTTGCACTCCTCCAGCACCTGCTCGCCGGCCCTCCACGCGGCGGCGCGATGCGGGGCACTGACGGCGATGGCAATGGACTCCTCCCCGACGGGCACCTCCCCCAGCCGATGCGCGATGCTCAGGCCACACAGGCCGTGCTGGGCCACGGCGGCGCGGGCGATCTGGGCCAGCGTGCGCAGGGCGAGGGGCGCGTAGCTGGTGTAGGCGAGGCGGGCGACGGGCTGGTCGTTGAAGGAGTTGCGAGTAGTGCCTAGGAAGAGGACGTTGGCGCCGGCGAGCGGGGAGCGGGTGTGGGCGAGATAGGCGGGGGGGGAGAGGGGGTGGTAGGTGAGTTCGAGGAAGATGTTTTCGGCGGCGAGGTGGAGGGTCTGGGGGTAGACGGTGGGATCGACGTAGGAGGGCAGCGGGGCTGATGGAGCGGACATGGTGAGGACTCGGGAGTGTTGTCAACAAAGAGAATTACTATGAGAGGGACAATAGAGGGACAGGGGATGCGATGTGATCATGATGATGATGCTGTGGCGGTTGGCTTGTCATATTGCATCAGCGTCACACTGGAGACAAAGAATGTCCACCACTGAAACAATCCAACAACAGATGTTTCTGCCAGCAAAGACAAAGACAGCGAGTTGTTCATTTCTTGTCTTCATCTAGAGGAGAGTTGTATGGCAAATCTCAGAGAGTGCTGCTTATCTACTCTATGAGTATGTCCAACTACCACGATGCTCAGTTTGTCACTGCAAGTACAATGACAGCCCTCTTTCTTGCGCACAAATTCATCTCAACAGACAGAAGCTACAAAGTTTCTGTTGCTGCTCTGTTTAATCCCGCAGTGATGCCTCAACTGCGTCTCTGCGGGATTTTCATCCCAGATGCCCCGTCGGTCTCCTCTGAGCGCTCCAGGCCAAACCAATCAACATCTCAGAGATTCAAAGAATCTTCCCCGTGGGGAGGCCGTGCTGCATCACGGTCGATCGCCGATGATGTGCAGGATCAGGGGATATTGAGCAATATCTCTCACCAACAACGGTGATGTTGTTGGATGCTGCGTGAAAAAAATGACGCCTGGCGACATCGCGAGGATCCACCCCCAGATACTCCAGACTGGCATCTCCACGATCGAGATGGGTATAAATAAGGGGAGAATGGCCCCCCGGAAACGAAAGAAGAATCATCCAGCAAAGCCATCGCCTCGAACAAGACAGTCTCTTTCCAAATACTCCCTTTTTGCCTCTCTTGATATCTTTTGAGAACGCTCCACCGCGAAAATGAAGACCGCCGCCATTCTCAGCGTGATTGCCCTCACCCTCACCGCAGGCGTCAGCGCCAAAGTCAACCCTTCCTGGGACAACTATCCAAGAGTAAGTGGTGATGCTCCGAGGAATGGCAGTCGAGGCTGACAAAGGGCGATGGTTTCAGTCCCCCGACGACCCTATGATCTGGCTGGGTCCACGACGTGAGTGCATCGGGCCATATGCGCCCAAGGACGGACTGTGCGGTTCCAATGAATACGGTATGGGAATGACACCTCCCCCCTCCCCGGGAGATATACGAGAGGTGAAGACTGACGATTTGGAATAGGCAAGAAGGGGAAATAAGGATGAATGATCCAGGGAGGATTGTGGAATGATTATTGGTTATGGGGAAGACGCTGCTCCGGGAGTAGCCTTGTTCACGAATGCGAGCACAATTTGCCAACTTGAGTCTGGGGGACAGAGTCCCGTTTTGCTGGGCGTTCTGGACGGGATTTATGCGCGAGGAAATCAGATAAGAGCGGGCCGGTCTCTGCATACGGGTGATGTCTACATAATGAGCTAGCGAGGTGAATTCCAATGACTGTTGAAGCTGATCTGTATCCTGACAAAGAGAGGGAGAGAGAGAGAGTCATCTGAGCCATCATTGCATTGCACTTGCTTTCTTTTTCACGCCCAGTCCTCAAGCGTCGCATCACCACGGACACTGATGCTATAAAAAACCACAAGCCGTCCCAGATCCCCGTCACGCAAAGGAATAACTTCCATGTCCCAGGGAGGCAGAAAACAAGCGATTGGTCGGTGGCAGCTCGCGCCGTCCGGGGGGGGTGTGGGTGGTCTGTCTGGTGGCCATGCCGCGCAGGACGACGGAGGAATTTCACCCAGCGATTGGGAGGGTTGATCCATGTCCAGACGACCAAATAGCGGCCTGGGGGGAACTGGCGGTCGAGGTTTCGCGGGTGGTGTTGACTGGTTGTGTGCTGGGATCAGCACTCACCGCCAGATCGTGAGTGGTGATGGAGGGGAGAGCAGGAGGAAAAAGCAAAGATGGGGAATCCGGGGGAGGGCTTCTGGGGGATATAACCCCCGGGCGCCCGCTGTCAGTTGGCTTTCTCGCCGTCTCTCTCTTGTTTCTGGTGTTTTTGTTTCTCTTTCTCCAGCTTGCAATTTGGGCTGGCAATCACGCAATCACACGGAGCCCACCTTTTGTGCTACTAGCTATAACTATACCACACACCTCTTGCCCTCTTACACTCTCACTCTTGCTTTCACTCTGGATCTCACTCTTGCTTGAAAAATATTACGACTTTTGATTATCCTGAACAACTGGCTCCAGATTCTAAAACAAAACAAAGAAAAAGATCCGCTATTTACAAAGGGGAATACTGAGCCTGCAGCGTGCGGATGTTGAACAACGTCAAGGGGATATCGCAGACGGACGTGTATGCCGCCGGTATATACAAGAGCCCTCCAAGCCCATTACGAGTTTTCTTTTCCAAAAGAGCAAAGCACAAAGGGACGACGATGGCCTCGTCCGGGTCTAAAGTCTAAAGAGTTCTTTGGTGCATGATTTCCAGATGGTGAAGCTAAACACCATGATCCAGAGCAACGTCACGCAGACGGAGAGGATCTGATACCCCATGTTAGCGTCAGGAGTGCTGGAGGCACAGAGAGATGCGGAGAGGCTTACCGTGCCAATGATGTTGAACGCGACCGAGTCAAACTCCTTTCCAAAGAGGGTGCATGCCGTGGTGAAGACACCTGTTGCAGGTTAGCATTGAGGCAAGGGGAGGGGTGGCAGATGCCGGCTCACCGATCGGGAAAGTGAATGCCCACCATCCCAGGTTGAATGGGAACGGGCCACGGGCAAAGGACGCGGCGGCAAACCACAGCCAGACGAGGCCGAAGCCCCACATGACCAGGGCGATGAAGATGCCGACGGAGTAGAAGATCTCGCCGGCCAGGGGCGAGAGGATGTCGGCTTGCTGCGAGAGGGTCAGTGGTGTCGAGAAACGACATGCGGGGTGGAACTCACCGTCGGGAAGACCCGCCGGGCGACGATGCCGAGTTGCATGATGCTACGCACAGTTAGATCGAACAGAGAAACGACTGGATGGATGGAGACCTACCCGAAGCCGCCCTGGCCGAGTGGGCCGACGGGGAGCAGCGTGCTGACGATGACGGCCGAGGGGACGATCTTGTGCAGGGCGAGGCGCTGGAAGTAGATGACGATGATGACCATGGCAAAGGGCACGGCGGAACCCCACATGATATAGCAGAAGATGACGGTCAGCATGGCGTGGGAGTTGTTGGGCAGGACCTCTGCGACGACGCCGCCCGAGGCCGCCGCGACGACGGGAGCGACGATGGGGAGCAGCCAGGCGGCGGTCATGGTCTCGAGCTTGGCGGGATGGACGGTCGTCCTACACAGTCAGCAAAGACGTCTCTCCAGACCAGAGACAGGGCAAGTCTTACAAGACAAAGGGGACATAGTAGCAGGTGAAGATGCTGACGACGGCGTCGATCCACCAGAGCACCCAGGCGGTGTTGGCGGCCCAGTCTCCCCACATGGGGACGCAGATGAAGACCCAGAGGTTGATGAGGGTCGCGAAGCCCATGGGAAAGGTGCCGAGCATCATGGAGTGGGCGGGATGGCGCAGCATCTGCTTGAACTTCTCGGGGAAGAGGGCATAGCGCACGAGGGAGATGGTGAGGAAGAGGGTGAAGAGGGCGGCGTTGAGGATGAAGATGGCGACGGCGATGTAGTGCAGGCCGGGGAACTGGTAGGGGAGACGCTCGAGCAGGATGGCGGTGATACCAGTGCCCATGCAGGCAGCGAACCACCTAAGAGCAGTCAGCACGAAGAACGACAGGAATTTGGGGATACTCGACTCACCCGGGATGGAAGTTTGCAATGGCAATCCAGTCATCGCGACGACGGGCGCGCTTCTGGTCGGGATCGGGGTCGTACGAGGGCGGCAGGATGCCGTTGGAGGGCTGCTCGAGGGCGGAGGGGCCCTTTTCGGCGGCGGCGGCGTCTGAAGAGCCAGAACTCATGGTGAGAGACAAAAGAGCGACGGGCGATCGGGGACCGCAGTAAGGAGCGTGTGAAGCAGACTGGCTGACTTGAGAAGAGAGAGAGAGAGAAGAGAGAGAGGAGAGAGGAGAGAAGAGGATATCAAGTCAAAATGTTCAATTCAAGATGGTGATTCAGTCAGTGATTCAGATTGAGATTCAGATTCAAATTGCAGGATCAAAGGTCCCTGGCCGGTTGTGGTTAAATAGCAGCGCATCCCAGCAACAAGTCGGCCGAGTGTGATTCTGTTCTGCTCTTGTTCTGCTCGTATGTCGCATTCACAGCCGGGATGTCCAGCTAATCGCAGGCGTTGCCTTAGGTAATGGGGTGTCTGGATGCTCAATGGGACGTTAGGGATGATGCTTGTTAGTCTTGTTCAGATTGTCAGATTGTGATTTCTGTCTCTCCCTCTCTCTGTGATACTCTGTTAATCTGATGCTTTTCTTTTTCTCTTCTTGTTCTCTTATTCTCTTCTTCCTCTCTCTCCTTTCTTTTTCCTTTCTTTTTTCTTCTTTTCCTATTTTTATCGTCATCGCCACGCTATAAGGCTGCACACTCCCCTCGTGCGCCCCCTGCGCCCACGGCCCGAGTGATCGCCGCAACCCCTGCGAATACGACAGAAGCCTCGTAGAAGATTCACGATCATTCTCAGATAGATTGACATTACATATCCTACAGTCTGTACGCTATTACACCTTTTCGTCCTCGCCCTTGTCCACCACCGCCCGCTGCGTCTGCTTCTTCTCCCGCTCCGCCATGTACAGCACGCCGCCCGTCCACACCGCCATCGCGATCGAGCACGCTATCATCGCCCACATCCCGCGCTATCACCATCACCGTCAGCATCTCATCGTATATCATCATCACACTCATCAAGACTCACTGTAAAGTACGGCGCCGTGTCCGCCGGGTAAAACACAATGCTCCACCACGCATTAATCACATTGCTGCCCATGTTCATGCTCGCAATCACCACGCTGCGCAGCGCGTCGTCGCGGTACCGCATCACGTCGTTGGCCCACGCAAAAAAGGTCGCCTGGCACGCATACACAGAGCCCGCCCAGTAGTACGCCCCAAACACCGTTGCTGTCGACGCGCCCGGCGCCAGGATCATCGCCGACGTCGCCACGCCCGTCACCGCGATCCAGAAGCCCACCAGGTACCGCTTGCCGCCCAGAAAGTCCGTCAGCGTCGCCCAGAACAGCGTCGACACGATGCCCACCGCCGGCACGCCCGACGGGTAGTTGTTGTTCTGCGCCACCGTGTACCGCCGCGTCGGGTGCGCCTTCATGTACAGCGCCAGCAGCGAGTTGGTCGAGAACGACTCCGTCTCGCCCGCAATCACCCACAGCATCACGAACCCGTACCAGTGCCACGACCCAAACACCCGCCGCGCAAACGCCCAGTCCAGCCGCGTGCGCTCCGCCCCGCGCTCCGGCACCCGCGCCATCGCCAGCGCCCGGTCCTCCGCCGTCAGGTACGGCGCCGTCGTCGTCGCTGGCGTGTCGGGGAACAGGAACAGCCCGTACAGCGCGATTGGCACCGTGATCAGCCCGTCAATCTATAATCATCAATATCTCTCATCACATCTCATCTCATCATATATATATATATATATATATATCATCACTCAAGATAAAAAGCCACCGCCAGCCCGGTATTCCCCCGCGCCCCGTGCAGCGACGAGATGATGCCCGTCTGGATGAACTCGCCAAACATGGTGCCCGCCAGCCCCGACGCCGTGAAGATGCCGCTGCGCTTGCCCAGCTCGCGCTCCGTGTACCACGACCCCAGGATGTAGTGCGTGCCCACAAACGTCGACGACTCCGCCAGCCCCAGGAAGAACCGGATCGCCATGATGCCCTGCGGGTTCTTGACCGCCGCCGTCACCATCGTCAGCCCTCCCCACACCAGCATCATCCCCGGGAAGAAGATGCGCGGCTTGATGTACTGCAGCGCCAGGTTCGACGGCACCTGGCCCAGGATGTATCTACTCTCCGTTAATCCTATTATACTATAACTCACCCTCCATCCGGGGGCAGCTTACCCGACCGTGAAGATCGTGTTGATCTGGTTGAACTGGCTGCCCTTGAAGTTCAGGTCCTCCTTCATCCCAGACACATAGGCATTGGCCAGGTTGGACCGGTCCAGCTGCAGTCCCGTCAGTAACAGGCCAAAAATCAAGTCAGGGTGAAAGCACACACGTAGTTGGCAAAGTACATCAGACAGCAAAACGTCAGGATGAAGAAATCAAGCTTGCGCAGGAGCGCCGCCTCGCCGGGCCGGCTCTCCTTGCCGCGCAGGTATTCGATGAACTTGGCCATGGTCTCTGGGAGCGATGCCAGCAAGCGAGGGCGCCCGACGAGGCCGCCTCGCCGGTGTATTTATACTCGTACTCTCGATATCCCCCTGGGCAGGTCTCGATGGTCGAGATATGGGGAACCCGGGGAACGGCTCCAGATGGAGATGGCAAAAGATAAAAAAATACTCCGGATCCATAGCTCTATCGCGGCCGAGATGCTGCCCGATATCGGATACAGTCTTTGATCAGATATATTGTATTCTCTACATTCTCTATAGTTGTATGCACTCTCTCTCTCTATCTCTATACACACACACACACACACACACAAATATATATTTACATATTATATCTATCATATATAATTATGTCGAAATATTCTCTCACTCAATCCAGCTCAGACGCCACCGCAATGCTTCAATCTCGCCCTCAACCATGTGGAGCACGCCCTCACTCTCTCTCTCTCCGTCGGCGAAAAACGCCAAATCAGCGCGCAGAGTCGATATCGGCCGGTCGAGATACGACAGACTCGAGCCATCGCTGGTTCAGCGGCGGGCTGGCGCAAACTCTCCAGATAACTAGTTAGTTAGTCTGCACAACGGCTGCACACGAGATCCCGAGGCATTCGTCCAGCACACGCTTCTCTGCCGCGTTTCGCCCGCTGCTTTGCCGCCACGCTTACACTCGGACAGTCTCTGCAGCGCTTCGTGTCTCGAGGCCGACGTCGGCTCCGTGCATCCCTGCCGTCCCATGCTGCTGCACCCCGGAGTGCGCTGCCCGCTGTGGGGTTGTGCCTGAAGCTCGATCCCAGAGCTCTCCTCGTCCTCTCTCGCGAACCCGGCTTTGCTCGATGCCGGTGCGCTGGATGACCAGTTTTATACTTCTGATGGAGAATGCTATCTATGTGGAGATGCTCTGAGAGCCAGAGATCAAGTTCCGACCGGAGGGAGCTGTCCCAAGAGCCTTTCCTCTCTTCCTCTGCCTCCCTCCCGGATGTTCATCTGAGATCTCTCGTGCAAAATATCCCAGCAATCTCAACAGAGACACAATGGCTAAAAACGCATGAGAAGGCATCAGCGCCGCCAAACGCGCAGCCCTGCTCGCCTCAATCCCGCCCGAATGGATCATTCCCGCAGACATCCTCCCTCCAGCCTCCCAGAGCGATGTGACCTCGTTCCCAGAGGCTTCAGGCTGGTTTACGCCCGCTGAGCTGAAGATCACGGCCGCTCCCGCCCTTGAGATATTGCAAAACACCAGATCTGGCGTCTGGTCCGCCGAAGCTGTCGCCCGCGCCTTTTGCAAACGCGCCGCGGCTGCACATCAGCTGGTCAGGCCGCTTCTCCCATTCCCACATATTCACTCCATTGCTAACCAATTGTAGACCAACTGTCTGTCCGAGACCCTGTTCCCAGAGGCCATCGCGACGGCAAAGGCCCTGGACGCCCATCTCGCCTCCACCGGAACCCCCGTCGGCCCGCTGCATGGCCTGCCCGTCTCGCTCAAGGACAACTTCAACGTCGCCGGCAAGGACTCGACGCTCGGCTTCAGCGCCTGGGTCAACGATCCCGCCGCCTTTGACAGCACCCTCGTCAACCTCCTCCGCAATGCCGGTGCCGTGTTCTACGTCAAGACCAACGTCCCTACCGCCATGATGATCGCCGAGACCGTCAACAATGTCTTTGGGCGCACGACGAACCCCCGCAACAGGCTATTGACCTCTGGAGGCTCATCGGGCGGCGAGTCCGCCCTGATTGCATTTGGCGCAAGCCCCTTGGGCGTCGGAACGGATATCGGTATGTAATTCTCCATACTTGCTCCAAAATCCCATCTATCCTTTTTTTTTAATATTAATACCCGTCCACAGGAGGCTCTCTGCGCATCCCCGCCGCCCTCACCGGCATCTTCACCCTCCGTCCTTCTTTCGGGCGATTCCCCAACATCCTCACCAAATCCGGGCTTGCAGGCCAGGAATCCGTTCTCAGCGTCAACGGACCCATGGGCCCCTCGCTAGCTTCCCTCGCCCTCTTTGCATCCACCGTCACCAATTCCCAACCGTGGCTGGTCGATCCGAAATGCATCCCCATCCCGTGGAGAACCGTTGCGCCTCAAAAGAAACTGAGGATCGGCATCACGTGGGACGACGGCATGGTGCGGCCCACGCCGCCCGTCCGTCGCGCGTTGAAGGAGACGGCGGAGAAACTGCGCAACGCAGGTCACGAAGTCGTTGATTGGGCTCCGATCGATCACGACAAGGCCGCCGATATCCTGGTAAGCCGGACTCCGCTCAACCCCCGTCGTAAATTCCATACGACCGGACTAACTCCAATAGGATCGCTTCTTCCTCTCCGACGGCGGGAGATCCGTCCAGAAGCTCCTCTCCCTGTCCGACGAACCCATCCGCCCGGAAATGGAACGCTACGGCCGCGCCGTAGACAGCGGCGTCTACGAGCTCTGGCAGCTCCACACCATACGAAACAAGCTGCAAAAGGACTACCTGGACCGATGGAATGCCGCCGGCCTAGACGCCATTATCTGTCAGTTCAACCCTTGCTCCCTCTACCCCTGACATATAATCGATCGCTAACACATGTACAATTCCAGGCCCAACCTGCCCCTTCGCCGCCGTCGAACACACAAAATTCAAACACGTCGCCTACACCGGCGTGTACAACATCCTCGACTACTCTTGCATTTCCTTCCCTTGCAACGTCTCCGTGGACGCCAAAATTGACCTTTCCGTCGCTGGTGAGGCTCCGTTGAGCGTGGTCGACGAGCAGGTTCAGAATGAATGTACGTCTTTCCCATTCCTCGTCTCTCCTCCCGCTTTGCTGTGACGTTCTAACGTTGACTTTGTAGACAACCCCTCCGCCATCCACGGCATGCCCGTCAGCCTGCAGCTCGTCGGGCGGAGGTTGGAGGAAGAAAAGGTCATCATGATGGGTGAAGTCGTCCTGCAGGCCCTTTAGACTTGTAGTATACAACTCTTATCTAAACTAGAATCCATGTTGGATCAATCAACTTTTTTGTATTGTGCTAGCCTTCTACCAGAAACATGGGGGACCGGGCCGGGTAGATGGGTCATTGGGCGGGATATGGGAGAATAGTAGTAAATTTAAAAAGCCATATTAGAATCCCAAGCATTCAAAAGAAAACCCAATAACCCACAAAAAACAAAGTGCTAGGAAACCATGCAGACCTGGTTCTTCCTCATTAACTGGTGATTCTTGGCCAGCTACAGGTTCTGCGGATAAACAAGGAATACAACATGGTTGCAAACGCCGATGGGAACGTGGTTTGAGGAGAAAAGTTGTACGCCGGGGTTGGAAATATAAAAAATGGTTAAATGCTTCGGGGAAGTACATGACGGTGCATCCTGTATATCATGGAAATTCATCACGACGCAAAAACTAGGGTGAAAACACGGAGCAAAAAAAGAGCAAATACCGGGCATATCTGAGTGGCAGCCCTTGTGCGGCCAGCTTGTTAAACCTTGTGTCAGCAGTCAAAATGACAGACATGGTCACTCTGGATCCTCAAGATCATTCATATCGACAGGCAAGAAACCATTTTACATGTCCATCGTATCTCCGCCATTGGCAAAGTTGAAGGCGCCAGTTTGAGGTTGATTGGTTCCCAGAGTGAAACCGGCCTGCGTTTTGTGGGGTGCGAGCTCATCGATGTCAGCGCCAGCTTCATCTTCATCAGAGAAATACCGCTCAATGATATTGTATGCTTTCATGTAGATTTCCTCGTTGGCATTGTTTTGACACTCGTGAATCTTTTCCGCGCCACCAGCCTCTTCGATGAACAAGGCGTACCGGTTGACATTCGATTCTCCCATCTCGCCAGATTCCTTGTCAAGCTCTCCAACCTTGAGAATGTGTTCAAGACCATCGAGAGCCACTTGAATGATCTTGTTATCAGGACAGGCAAGGAGATCGCACAGTGGCTTGATGCACCCTCTAGAGACGAGGTAGCGGATCTGGTCAGGTTTCTGAAGACCGCCTGAAGTAGCATTTGAGATGGCCCAGCAAGCTTCCTTTCTGGTCTTGAAATCTCCATTGGACAAGAGGTTAATGAGCGGAGGAATAATGTTAGCATCAATGACGGCTTGGATTTGGGTGGAGTTTCCAGCAGTGATGTTGGAGATAGTCCAGCAAGCTTCCTTGCGGATGCCATCTTTGGTCGAGCTGAGGAGAGAGAGAAGTGCAGGTAGGGCACCACAGTTGATAATCACTTGAGTTTGGATATCATCACCGGTCACAATGTTGCCAACGGATCGAAGAGCAGGGGTTTGCACCGAGGTGGATGCGTGGTTCAGGAGTTCCACCAGGCGCCGAGGAATGCCGGCTTCGATCACAGCTTGAATCTTATCGTTTGCGCCGTCGGACAAATATGAAATGGCCCAGCAAGCATCAATTAGAACTTCATCGTCGAACATGTAGACGAGCTTTGCCAGGACTGGCAGGGCTGGGAGGATCTATGCATCACGTGAGTATGGATGTGGGGGAAGAGAAGCGGGATGGACGCTGGACATACCGTTGGCCAAGTCAGGCTGGGGACGTCTTTGCACGACAGAAGTTGCTGAAGGGTCCAGGTAGCGTTTACGAAGCATGCTGACTCTGCCTACTTCAGACTGATCCAAGGCCAAAGCGGGCGGTAGGGATCCCGGGCGCCGAGAATAAGTCTCGGGGTTGAGGGACTGTCCACGA